TCAAATAAGATAATAGCTAGGATTTTTATATACGATATAATTTTTATATTGCAGGTACAAGTTCTCTGAAATAACCTATTCATTCAATGTGTTCAAGTGACTGCCCCCCCCCCTCCCCCGCCTTTCCGATACCAAGTCACAGTTCAGAGAACTCGATGAGTGTTCAGAGCATGAACAATTTGGCCCTCAGACCACTGTGCACTGGTTTAGAATGTATATACTTATATTGAAATGATAACGGAATGAATATTTTGGAGATGGGGAAATAAAAAAAAATATGCATATTGTTGTTTTTTGTGTACATGATACTTATATCATTCTGCTATCATTCTGCTCTACGTATAAAATGAGCAACCACCACAAGATTTTCAGGAAAAAATATTTATTAATCTATACGTATTTTCTATAGTTTTCTTTAACAGATTATGCATATTAAAGGTTCAGCAACAAACCATCAGATTAAAATTTATGAAATCTTTTAATATTTTAGGAAGGGGGGGGGGGTATTGAAATGCATGTAGCTTAAAAAAGAATGTGATGATCCCACTTCATATTTTAACCATAAGTCACATATAATAATTGTTACAAAATATATTAATCTTAGGAAAATTCATTGGGCAATTTTTTGTCAAGACGTTGAAAACTGCTCTTGGGGTGAAAATATTACTGCAAATTTCCAATGACTACTCCCCAAAGCAACTGTGGCATTAGTACACCTATCAATAGTTTCCGATACAATTTTTATTTTCGATGAATATAAAGCATATTATTTAATATCTGGCGAAAATTATTTAATTTGTTTCAATTTTGATATCTATATTGCATACTTAAAATTTCACTACATAAATATCAAAATATTGAAAAACGGTGGTTACCATGGCAACCATATCTTCCTTATAACCCTGATGACCATGGTTGAAATTTTCATATTATGATACCATTAACGTAAGATAATTTAAATGTAAAAATGAGAAAAATTGATAGAGCGGATTTTTTTCATGTACCCTTGCAATCTCTTCCCTATCTTTAATTATAAAGATACTGACAATAACAACTACTCCCCATAAAAATGCACTGTGCAGTTCCCTCCATGTTCAAGTCGCTGTTAGAGGGAGCTTTCATTACTTTCAATAACACAAAACGAATTGAACCTATGTATAATTGAATTGTACCTATCTTCAAGTCGTTTGTGGATATGTTACAATTGTACCTATCTTCAAATCAATTGTACCTATCTTTAAATCAATTGTACCTATCTTCAAATGAATTGAAGATAGGTATAATTCAATTGAACCTATCTTTAATTGAATTGAAGATAGGTTTAATTTCATTAAAGATAGATGTAATTTATTTGAACCTAGGTTTAATTATTTAGAGATAGGTATGATTATTTACACCTATCTTTAATTCAATTGTACCTATCTTCAATTCATTTGGAGATAGTGTCTTTCCACAATTTTTTTAAAAATAAATTTTGTTGTTGTGAAAGTAGTCATAACAACAAAATTTATTTTCTAAATAAAATTTGTGGAAAGACAATAGGTTCAATTATTTGAAGATAGGTACAATTATTTGAAGATAGGTACAATTATTTGAACTATTTTGAAGATAGGTTCAAATATTTGAGTATCTGTTAATTTGGCGTTCCATACTATGCATATCTGCATCCATACACCCCATATTAGCCGGTGGGACCATATTAAGATCCTCAAAGATAACGAACCTTCCTTTAAACCTTACCAGCGCACGTTTTGCCGTCCTCCACTAGTCCGTAGCCACGGTAACAGTCACAAAAGTAGTCCAAACCCTCCCCGGGGATACACAGTTGGGTACAGTTTCCGTTATCCCTCACACATGGATGGATTACATCTGATAAAAAAAAAACATGAATGGGGATTGGCATCAAATATGGAATGCTTGAATCAAGAATAAAGTGACTGAATATCAACCTTTGGTCACTCCGTCTCGATGACCCACACCCCTTCATACACCTATTCTTGTACTACACTGTACTGTGAAACTTTGCGTGTTCTACCTGACAAAGAAACCCTGATCTCCTTTGCAATGTAATATTTATTTCTACTCGCAGTAATTTTGCATAAGGACTATGCTTTTTTTGATAAATACATCATAAACAAAGTATTAACACCTCTTGATAATAGATGCAATTATAAGTACATTATAAGGACATCAATTTTAATTGAGGAATAACTGTCTAATTTTTTGGATTCATGATGTGATCAATCGAGTGGCTTGCGTGATAATTTGCATAAACTCCGAAGGCGTTTATGCATAAAATTATTACGCAAGCCAATCGATTGATCATCGTCATGAATCCAAAAAATCTGACAGTTATTCCTTATATTTACATGCTCCTGATTCTGCAAATTCCCGTGCTAATAGCCCCGCTTCTGTCTCTATTTGTCCCGCCCTGCACGTGATTTTTTTTAACCGTGCCTATCGATGAACCAGTAGATTTATGTAGAAATAAAGTATTTTTACAATTTGTAATTTTATCTCGGACAAAGACATTGGAAATGTAAATATTTTGAAATATAAGACAAAAGTCTTCTCGGTTCTGAGTCCACCTTCAAACCTGTGGATACTGAGAACCGATGCGAAGCACACATTAGTAAGGAAGGATGCACTATAGTAAGGAGGGATGCACTATAAAAGTAGATACATATATGGATACCTTTGAGGCACACCGGCTGGTCTGGGGAGGTCCATTTGTAGCTCTGACAGAACATGTATCTGGAGTGATTGCTCTGGAAATGGTAACCCTCATCGCAGGTGTAGTTAGCGTAAATGACCCACACTCTCTTGTATTTATTGTAATGGTATGGAGTGATGGCCGTGGCGTGGGGAATAGATGGAGGGGTCCTATAACGCTGATGGATGCACGTGCCGTCTGCCTTCTTGATTTCAACAGTAAAGTTAATGGAGGGGGGCTGTACGACAGATACCTCTTTGGTCTCGTTCTTCACCCTCAGCTTTTCAGTGCTAGGATTCCTGCTTCCAGGACCTTGCAATTCGACAAATCCAAATAAAAGTCTTTTTTATGACGTAAATATGAACTTATTCATTATCAGTTACAACGATAAATAAATTAAACCTACCAATACATTTTGGTGAGGGACTGCTCCATAGTCCACCCCCTTCACAGAAAACTTTGGAGGCCCCCAGCAGGTAGTGACTCCGTCCACAAGTGAATTCTGCGATTTGTCCCTCTTCGTCCATGCTAACGTAACCATAGACCGGAGCGGGTGGAATCGCGCAACCCTTAGCTGTGTTGGAGATAGTGTATAAAATTTAAGAGATGTTGAAATTGTCAAAATTCTCTAGAATGGCGACTTCATATGTACCGATCATTTTTTAATGTCGTAAATGATTCCGACATCTCGCACTTGGACAAAAAAAAAAGGAAAAAATAACCTGCAAAGATTTACTGCATGCATTTGCTTTCCTACATTTATTCTGAAAAATTCCAGGTTCAAGATACATACCTACACAGATGGGGGAATTAATTGTCCACTCTCCCTCCTCCTCGACGCAGGCCCCAAACACGTCACCGATGGGGAAAAAGCCGTCGTCACAAATATATTCCACCAACAGATTACCTCCCCACGTCAGGACTGTGCCGTGATTTATGGGCCCTGGGGTAGTGCAGGCGTAGGGAACTGTGAATTATATTTAGATTTTAATTTTAATAGTTTATTTCTTTCTCGCCCCTTCCCCATCTCCGTCCCTTTTCTTTTCCCGATTTCTTCCTTTCCCTCCCCCTCCCCCACTCCCACACCCCAATTTTAATTATGTCATTCAATGGGCCTTCTTTCACCTCACTTTCTCTAATTTTTAAACAATTTATCCAAGAAATGAAGTTTTCACACTCGCCTTAAGGTGAATTTAAATGCAGCATATAATTTATGAAGATGATTGTTAAAAGCTTTCTTTTTTATTCCGATTTCCTGACTTTCTTCGTTCACTGACCAAGACCTCAAAAACTTACCGTGCTCATTATCCTCACCACTGACATAATTTATCTGCAAAAGTACATGTACTAGAAGAAAAACAAAGGACGCCATCACAAAACACTTATTGTTAGTGACCGAGAAAGCAGAGTTCAACAAGGTTATTGTTTAACTTCGATACACTGAATGTAAATTCGAAAGGGGGCTGGTAAACTGACCCTATTCTTTGGAGTATTTTTCGTGGACCAGAAAGTAAGGCATAACGTAGTGCCCATTCAATTTAGATATTGAAACGTATAGTAGAGGAGCGAAAATATAAGTCTAATTTTAATTAGATTGGGGGAAAAAATCTTTTTCTTCATTTTCATAGAATAATCGGAATACGATGGGTTGTGATTATTCAAGAACATTTCCGATGTTTGTTACTGTCCAAAGTCTTTTTTCTTGTAATTCATCCAATTTGAACTCAAGTCATATTTCTATTTATGTCAAGCTTTGTCTCTGATATCTTCTTGTTTATTTTCAGAAAATATCCACTTTATATATTTATATATACATGTTATATATATATATAGAGAGAGAGAGAGAGAGAGAATTTAAAAACTGCACGGATGAAGAAAAAAGCATCCTCCCGGCAAAAAATAAAATACAAAAAAAATGAATGAACAAAAAAAATGAAATGATATTTCTAAAAATCATAAAACAGCCTGGTTTGTTCTTTTTTTTTTTTTTTTTTTTTTTTTTTGGCTTGCTTGTTTCTTTGTGACCTCTCTCTCTCTCAAATTGTTTTGAAGGTTTGTTTTTGAATTACTTTTAATTATGTTGGCTTCGAGAATATTTTCCTTTGCTCTTGATGTGGAGTGTTTATGTGAAAAACTAAAATAGGTGTGTACAATTGAATTTATCGTACAATATATTGTATCCGGATACAGCTTTGTCACATTCTCGGTTTTAATTTTGACTACTTCGAAATGTTTCCGATTTGAGTAAAACTGAAAACAGTAATTTACTTGTTAGATTTTTCGCCCTATCAGATTGTTTTGGGTTTTCAGAGGATTTCCTTTTCGTTGAAGTATATTGCGTGATACTTTTTAATCTCTTTCTGTGAAATGTTTATCGGAGAAGAGCTGACAGTAGAGGCACACGTTGAGCAAAGATGCGTTTCCGCTCTTCCAAAGCTGGGTTATGAGGAATGTTAACTTCTAATGAAGGAAAGTTTGTTTTAAAACATTCCACCTTAAAAAAAACCTATACTTATGTAAGTATATATAGCATAAATTGTCTGACTTTCTGAGGTGAAAAGAATAGAAACGTGAAAAAAAATGTTTTCCCGTTTGTCTTCATCACATACTTTTTATTTAATTTTTGTTTAGTCTTTACATCATCATGATCAATGAAGTTTCTTTTACAGCTTTCTACTTTCCGTTATGGGCAACCAAAATGACGATGCAACAGTTTTCGGTTATAAATCCCTTGGAGAATACCAAAAGCCAAATGGCCAGGAGGAATTTTCTTATTATGGCCATTTTGTGTTTTGTTTTTGCCTTCATCTTCATTTGCACTGTAGTTGTAGTTGTCCTTACAAATATTGGTATGTATAATCAAATTCCTACTGTTCTATTAAAAAAAACAAAATGTATAAAGCTACACTTGTGTTTAAAAATTAATTTTTGAATACATGACTGTACTTTATAGTGGTATTTGAATAATCTTACATTATTTGACTAATATATTTTGTCGTTAGTCAAACTGTGTATATGTTGTGTAAGTCTTTGCTTTTTATATGTTGTAAGTCTTTGCTTTTTATTTTTCAGAAAATAAAAGGCAACATGACTATGGCCCAAGTTATAGTGACTTGAAATCTCAAAGTATTAACATAACCAGTTTGTTTTCCCTTATTCAACCCTCTACTCCTATTCATACGTCACCCATGAAAACACCAACCTTGGGAATGTCACCCACTGAAATGAAGGCAACATCCAGTTTTATTAAAGAATACTCAAGTTTAAGTCAAAAGACTACAATAGTTAGCACAAGTCCCTCACAGTCCTTTCCACTGCTTACAACATACAAATCAAATTCAGTATTATCAACAGAAAGTACTACCTCATTAATACAAAATATATCCTTGTCATCGGTGGAACTATTTAACAAATCATCATCCATTTTTCTGCCATCAACAGTAGATTTTACATCAATTGTTTTACCATCTGTTTCCTCTTCGCTTTTGACCAGCAGTCATCCAAATACAACAACAAACCCTCCAATCACACTTGCAGGTAATGTTCAATGTAATTGTTAATTAAATGTTAAACATATAACAACTTTATACTTTGTAAAGGTCATTGCCTCTTTTCAGGTCTTGGGGTTAAAAGTGAAAATTTACCCACATAGGAATTTACAATAGTTTTAATAATTCTTTGTCAAAAAAGTTTTTTTTTCTGTAAATATTGGCAGTTGTGTATTGCATGAATTAAATTTACATGTATTTAATCATTGAAATGGTAAATCAATATTATTTCACAGCTTGCCCAAATTCAGACTTTACATGCCGCAGTGGAGAATGTGTGAGCCAGGATGCTAAATGTAATCGATATATTGACTGCCAAGACAAATCCGATGAAGAGAACTGCACAGGTCTGTTATACTTGTCACTTAGGTCACATGTTAGGGATGTGTGATTTTATTGGTACACCAGTATATCATGATTTTTATTGATACAGAGACTAAAATAGTGCTATTTAGTAGTAATTATAAATTCCGGAAATAATCAGTTTTTTGTTCAAACTATTGAATTACAATATTACAGGAAAAAATGTTGTAATACAATGGCATTCTAGCATCCAAACATGCTTTAATAATATATGAATAAAATAAAAAAGTGTGAAGTACCCCTGGTAATGTTTTTACAATACTTCACTTTTTTCATTTTTATTTATATATTATTAAAGCATGTTTGGATGCTAGGATGCCATTGTGTACAGTGTACCTCAGGTCTCTGCTTGTGACCTAATTTATAGATATTTCTTTACAGACTGTATTGGTGTACAGTGTACCTCAGGTCTCTGTTTGTGGAGTTGGAGTCCTCTTTGTGATGGTATTGTAGACTGTTTTGATCTCAGTGATGAAGTCAACTGTGGTAAGGAAGCCTTTTAAAATCTATATCTCTGCTTTATGAGAGAAGAATTCAAACATTTGTTTGTTTTGTTTTGTTTTTCAATTTTCTCCAACTTCTCAGCCTTAATTGATGGCTTTTTACAAGTGTGGATATGTGCAGTTGCAGATACCAATAAAAGAAAATGCGACAATGGGGTGTGGATCTACAAATACCAGTGGTGTGATGGGATTGATAACTGTTATGATAATAGTGATGAGAAAAATTGTAGTAAGTTATTCTCTTGTTGCAGTTAAGTGTTATTCTATTTAAAATTTAAGCTTTCCTCTTCAGACCGTTTATAATTTGGATTTGTTTTGAAGTCTTTAATTTGTGTGTAAAATCTGTCTACTTTATCCTATATCTAACAATCATTACAACTGTTTACATGTGTAATATATTCATACAAGCCTGCTGAAGTTGTTAGTTTTTGTGTAGGCTGTCTGGCAGGCCTGGAGATAGAATGTGGAGATGGACAGTGTATACGTAAGGAATGGGTCTGTGATGCCTACCAGGACTGTAGCACAGATGAAATGGGGTGTGGTAGGTACCCCCAAAAAATATACATTTATGACCTTCAAGATGAATCTCCATTATTTAATGGGGACTCAAGAGTGTCATGTTACGTCATTGGTTGAAATTATTTTTTGATGTCAAAAATGAGAACGTGAACAGATCTAGAGAGACAAAGAGAGAAATGTTAGATAGACTTTGATGAAAAAACCTCACTGGGGTTTCAAGTAAGAAGTGAGATAGAAACATGATTCTATGTAACAAATTTTGATTTTGATAATGTCATATTTTCTGAAAATACAAATTTCGGTGAAATTCATTCAAAATTCCACTCCTTCAACAGTTTTGGTTTTGATTATAAAAATACATGCACTTAGTACAAGCTTAGAAAAAAATTCTGCAAATATAAGTAAAAACTTTTTAAAAAGTGTCTCAAGTCCAGATAATTAGATGCAACTTTTCTCCAACTATCAAAAGAAATAACCTGTGGAGCTACAGCCTCATAAGAGACTCCAGTTGAAGAAGTTACATTTCTTTCTCAGATAAATGTAGCAGTTCTCAGTACATTTGCCAGGATTATAGCTGTATAGACAAGACCAAAGTTTGTGATGGTTCCCCAGACTGTCCCCAGGGGGAGGAGGAGACACAATGCTGTAAGAACACTATTAGTTCTCTGACAGAATTTTTGTCAAAATGCTATGTACTTATTATATTTAGATATTCTTTTATCCAATAATCTTTCTCTGCCCATTTATTTTTATTTTATTTTTATGCTCCCCACTTTTCCAAATAAAAAGACTAATGAAACAAAACAAAAACATGCACAATTTACAATACAGCAATGACAGTTTACTTAATTTGTAGTTAAGTTTTTGAGTAACATCTCCGATTCCAGTGGTTTACTTGTTGGACACTACAGGGGAGATAATGCAGTCTATCCTGTGTGTAGCACAAACTGGAAACTCCATTACAGTAACATTGTGTGCAGATATATGGGTCATGAGTAGGTAGTTCATACATATGTGGACACAGTGTACATGTATATAGCAACAAATCTTCTGTGTAAACCTTATTTTCTAATAAATATAATGTTGATTCAATAAACATACTTTTTAGTCAGTCTATGAATTAACCAAAATGCATAAAACTTGATATGATTGACAGAGGAGCAGTGATGACCTTGACCTCCCCAATACCTAGTGCTGTCCAGTATCTGGAGCTTTCTGACAACGTCACAGACACACAGACATTCCTCAGCCACCTACAAATCAGGTAACATATTGCTTGCATGGTAAGAAAACTTACTAGAAATGTCCATACTTAGAGCTATCAAGATTTAATTTTCCAATGTGATACATGTACATGTATAAACACGATTAAAATAAAAAAGAGAAAAAATAGTTGTACACATACTTGTAAAGTAAATGACACCATTAGGTAGGTGGTCAGTCATAACACTTCATGAGGTGATATATATGTAGCTATTTTTACAGTAACTAAGGGTACTTACCTTGTTAAGACATACTGTAGACATCACTCTTTGTTTTTTGTTTGTCCAGCTTTAACTGCAGAACAAACAGAACAGTTGAGATCACCTGCATGACAAAAGGTACAATGCATGACCACCTGTTCTGCTATACTTTTACTTCTGTGTTACTTTTACTGCTATACTATTTCTTTCAATTTTCAATCCCCATAAAATCAAGTAGTTCTATTATTGCATGTTTTTAAGTAAAAGATCTCAGTGAAAATAAACTTTACAGAAATACTCTATACATAACTGCTTTCAGTATTCTGTGTGCTATGACAATTTCCTTTTTTGGCATAATGTAAACATGGTTAAATTGAAGGGTTGAAAGTTTGACAGTTTCAGCATATTAGAAATATGGCGAGTGGAAACTTTGGCGGTCTACTAGAATTTAACATCACTCTTTAACAAGAATGTGAAAGTTGATGGGGGTAAACTTTGACCTCTATTTTTCATTAATTTCTCCAATGTTTCCACGTCGTCAAAGTTTCCACTTTTACAGTAGTACTTTTCAAAAAATGTTGATCAAGTCATTAACAAATGTTTCTTCATATCTTAATTAATAATTAATTTACAAATGGACTTCACTAGACAATCAATACCTGTAATAGTGGTTATTGGTGAGTAACAACAAATAATTAGCAACTGGAGAAAAACTCCATGAGTTTTATGATTCCTAACAAGGGCATACCCAGCTATCCAATATGCTCTGTAAACCATGAATAAAGCCAACACACTTTGCATTATTTAGAAGCAGCAGAGCACAAATGTAACAAGTCCTCCAGGAAAGTGTTTAACTGTAAAACAAAATCTGTAAATGCATTTGGACTTCCATGAAGTTCTTAGTGGAATGAAATTTTCATCCTGATAACCTACATGTATTTAATATTTACCATAATTGTCCTTATAAGGAACATTTATACCAAAATATTAGTCTTGTATGCCTAAATGCTCTAACAAGTTTCATTTTCTGTAATTTAAATTGTTGACACTGTTTAAGTTTGTGGTAAGAGAAGCTCTGGACTACAGGTGCCCTTTATCTCTGGAGGAGACTTGTCCACCAGAGGGCGCTGGCCATGGGTGGTATCCTTGTCATATCTAGGGAAACCAATCTGTAGCGGTGTGTTGATAAACCCTCTCTGGGTCCTGACTGCAGGCCACTGTATGGCTGTGTAAGTCTGTAACTGCAATCCAATGTTAAAATATCTAATTTTGGCTTTATAAAGGGGTTCATTTTTGGATTTGATTAGACATTTTTGATTACTTCATTAAACATCCGTCTCAATACATAATCTTGCAATTTTTTTTTCTATTTTCACACAGAGTTTGGTAAAATGAGCTATACTTTAATATAATTTTACAAAATGTCATATCCTGGATTTTTTTTCAGGTCAGGGGTTTATAATTACACACATACTCCAAATAATGTGCAAGTTTTGCTCGGTTCTGTAAAACGTACTCGTGACTTAAAGGGTGGAGAATTGTTACTGCGTGCTGTAGAGATTCGCCACCACCCAGATATGAAGTGGACAGGAGAGGGGACAATTTACTGGGACATTGCTCTTATTCGATTGGAGCGACCCGTGACCTTCACTGCTGTTATCCAGCCCATCTGTCTATCATCCAATCACAGTGACCCTGTGACAAGCACCTGCTATCTGACTGGATGGGGAAGCATTGAACCAAATCAGGGTAAAACATTATTGTTCATTGCAGATAAAAATTATTGTTAGTAGAAATATACAGTTAAACTTCAATTTCTTTAACACCGATATCTCAAATACCATGGATATGTTGAAGTGATTTAGAGGTCTGAACCACTTATTCTTCATGTATTTTGCCCTGGATATCTCAAAAATCCTTGGATATCTTGAAGTTTTTTATTGATCCGATTGAGTTTGATGTAAAGGTTTGACTATAAACATCTAAATTTTTAGACTTAGTACATAAGCTTCGGAAGAGGGTTAAAACATCGATCAGATTAGGTAAACTTCACTAAAGACACACTTAGTTGCTTCCCTCACATTGTATGTCCAGAGGATATGTTCTTTCCCCTAATGGGCACCATTTCATGATATTTTTACTTAGCCTGAGAAAATGTTCATTGCATTCAGCAATTCCATGTTTATTTGAAAATTTTGTATGCTTGTATATCATTTAGTGGTTGTTTGTACATGTATTATATTGCTTCACAGATTTATTTTCATTATTAAATGATTACATACATGTACATCCATTTTAGAGATGACAGTGGAGTATTTAAGAGAAGCCAAGCTTCGAGTCTGGGATGAGGAGGAGTGTAGAAAAAACACCATTGTGTCTGAGTCAACAGTAGACACAAACTTCACACTTTGTGCTGGATACACATCTGGGACCTTATCTGGATGTAGGGTAGGGCTGCAACATTTTTCTTGAGAGTAAATGTGTTACAGATGTGTTTTCAAACTTGTCTCAGATCATTTTTGTTTTTTCATGAAAAACAAGTTTATAGTCCTTCAGTGTCTTCATCTAAATTAACAAGATTACTTGGATAGTTCTAAATTTCATGATGAAAAATGTTTGATATTACCGATAGCATTGACATTGCGTATGTTTTTTGCAGGGAGACAGTGGGAGTGGACTGATGTGTATGAATCGTTACAATCAGTGGAGTGTTGAGGGTGTCATGTCCAGTGGAGCTGCACAGTGTGGGGTGCCATCCTCTCAGGCCCTCCGCTTTACCAAAGTGTCTGCCACTCTTCCTTGGATCCATATTGTCATGTCTACAGTTCAATGATCTCTCAGACTCTCCAATAATGCCAATAGCTCTCTGATGAACGTACATTAAATACTTCAGCCTTATTCAACCCTCCACAGACATTGCTCTATTAAAATATTCACTTTTCCAAAGAGATGCTCAGATTTAAGGCTATTTGTCCAGAATACTCCATGTCACTTATGAACCTACTCAGCTCTTGCCAATCTCAAATGGATTATTTCTTAAGGTTCTGACAAATACACTTTTCAAGGAGTATACATAAATCTTTTGAATACTAGTCAAAATCATGTGTTTAATACATGTACATGTATGAACATTTCCTCGTAAATCAGCTACCTAACACTTTCTCCGCTAAAATGTCCCCCTAACAGTTGGCTGTTATTGTTATATGAAGAACACCGTAAATCTACTTAAATTTATTTGTACATTTAAAACAGGTGCTACAGCATGTCATTTCACAAAGGCTTCCATAGTGCTTATTTATATATAATAATTTTATACTGTTATTATATTTACATGTTTTGATAGAATATACATATATTTATTTATTCCCTGTTAATGTCTTGTATATGAAATAAAAACGGTTTGAATTAGCACTTATTTTTTATAACTATACCTCTTGATTCCTTGTTTATTGCAAAATATGACCTAAATTCAAATTGATCAGGTGTTCTTGGGCATCAAGACAGAGAGTTTGATCAACACACAGTTTGACAGATTATCTTATAAACCAGTAACTGTGAAAATGTAAACCAGATTTCCAAGACACTATCATTTTTTCCTCCAGATCTGTAAATCATGTATTAAATATTAAGGATTTCTTTTTCCAAATGTTGATGTGGTTTAATTTCTCATTTTATAAATGTTCTATCTAACTGGTACATAATTTCATCAAAGGGTATTGCCTAGTACAGGGTGTTCCAGAATATATGAGACCATTTCATGATAATGTAAAAAATAATATAATGAATATTGAATTACAACAAATGCGCTATAAACATTGCATATACTGTACAATTTTATTCACACAATTTGACGGACATTGAAAGGAACAGGACAAAATAAGTACACTTTAAAAAATGCTATGGTTTTTAAATGATGTCCTCTAAATGACATCCAATCTGGGTAATGATCATATTAAAACATTGCACAAAATTCCATAATTTAAGACAGCAGTGCATTTCTCTGTGGTTATATTCTGGATTATAATTCTAACCATGTGAGAATTTTTTACTGAATATTTTATTGCAAAATATTGTATTTATTCCAACTTAAATGAGACAAATATCAAAGAAATTGGTCAAGACGTGTTTCTGACGGTTATTTCAAATGGTATCATATATTTTGGGACACCCTGTAGCAGGTGCCCTCTATAGCTAGATGGACTGAGGCAGTAGTGCAAGTCTCTGCCTAAAGAAACAATAACAATTTACCTGACATGGCAACTCATGCTTTTGTACCATCTATGCCAATTATTCAAAGAACCAAATTATTTCACATTTCAAAGGCTACCTGTCAAGCACAAAAAATGATTGTCTTCTTTCCTTCTGTTATACTTTCTACTGGTACTACATACGAATGACTCAACTGTACATTTATGTACAATGCTACAGTCACACATCATTTATTGCACAATTATGACCTATGAGAATAAATGAAGTACATTGTACCTCTCAAATGCTTGTTAAATAGTATTGCATGGTAATGAAAAAGAAAAAATGATAAAATATCAAATAGAAATCACAATCACATGTCTGATAATAATACTGCCATTATGTCACTGCACCAAGCATGATTTAACATTCATCTTTTGAATCTGTCTCCTGATGATTCAGGTGTAATTTCCCATTTTCCTGTCCTGTATCATATCTGTATGTTGTGTTTTCAAAGCTGAGAGCTGCACCTCCCCCTTGCTGTTTCCTTTTGAAGATCACAAGAACCGCTATTATAACAACAGCAATAATGATTGCAGCAATCAAGATTCCTGCTATACCTCCACCACTCAGAGGCGAGGATCCACCACTGTCCTTTGATGCACCTAAGTATTGTGAGGAATTTTCTTTTTTAATAATATTGTAAAAACAAGAATTCTTTTCTAAGTGCTTTTACATATTTTAAAATATTCTAAAGACTATAATTAGCTCTTCAACAACTTACAGCTCTCACTCACCTGTTACGCTAGGTCCTGTGTAGGGTGGGGGAGTTGGTATTTTTGTAGGTCTGTTTATTGTTGGTACTGAAGGTCCTTGGGGTTTCAGTGTTGAACTCGCTCCTGGGGGTCCTTGGGTCGGTGGACTGGCTGGTGCCAGGGTACCGCTTGGTGAAGGAAAGGTTGAATTAGAGGGCTGTGGTGGTGTATGGGGATAAACATCTGATACTGATTAAAAAGAAAAGGTGGTTAGAACATCTACAATAGTGCTTATAAGGTTTATCCTTGCAGAGAAGCACATCTATTTTTGTTTTCAAATTGATGTTATGATGGTTTCATTCCTTTAAGCTTTAGTTAAAAAATACAATGCACATGTATTCACTTTTGAAAATAGTTACATATTGGTTAAATCTTCATAAAATACATATATTGTGACAGTAACTCTCCTTTTGTAAGAAAACCCTCTATCTTGCCTTTTTTCCCATCAGCTATTAGTTGTGTCTAGTTTTAATACTGTAAATCTATGGTTGAATATAGAAAATATATACTCCTGACACTACCTGGATTTCGCTGACAGATGTAGCCCCGTTTTTGTGTACAGTCCAGGTCATTCCATTTGCCATTCCAGGCATGAATCTCCACGCAATTCTCATTATTGCCCCACTGGTCATGTGATGAAGGCTCATTAGCATCCCAGTTCAAGAAGTTTGTGGGACTCTGGTCAGACCAGCTAAATCCAGCTGCAGAAAGAGTAAATTTCAACCATGAATTTTTATACATTTCTTAAAAAATGGTAAATTTAAGTTCTTTTATTAAACACCACAAATTTTCGGGTTTATAAACCAATAATTTTTATAATACTTGGAGAGAAACTGGGGGTCCAACTTCGACTTCCACAAGAAAAAAATGCTCATTTCTGAAAATATCCCTGTTTTCAATATGTACCTGCACGATGAAGATTTGCAAAGAACTGCCCAGAAGCCCTCAGCTTTTACTTAGTACTTTGCCTGATAGCATAACTTACATGATGAAGACTTGTGAAGACCTGCCCAGAATCCCTCAGTTTGTACTGAGTACTTTGCCTGGATGGTTTTTAGTAAGAACTGGTTCTGTGCCATGCTGTGTATAGACACCAAAGATGCCCTGTGACTCTGACATTCAAGGGTTGCATCAAGATATGTCCTATAATCATCGGGACGGAATAGCAGACATTTGCTTCCATTTAGGAGCCATTCATGTCCAGAGCACAGGTTGTTAGGTGCTGGAGGTGTGACTGGGGGATTATCTGTACAGAAGGAAAGTCATCAAATTGTAAATGAAAATCTTGTCAGGTTATTCAAAGCCACACAAAATCACAAAGTCAAAAAGAGGAATCAAATAGAAAATAAAAATCTTTTCAGGTTATTCATAGCTAGATTCCTTGTAATTTATGCTGAAATTAAATTACTGCATGGTTCTAAGTCTGAAAAATCTCAGTGATTAATACTACTGTAGAAGTACTTTAAAAGCAAATAGTGGCAATCCAAGAAGTCTGCATAATTTTCTACATGCTGATAGAACAGAAATTGTGGTTCCATGGAAATTTAACCCCGTGGAAAAATGTATGTTTCAAGTATATTTTATATTATTCAAGAAAAAAAATTTTTTTTTTCCATCACAGAATTTTAACTTGTTCTAATTACCTGATGTGATTTTACAGACATAAGATAAAGTCTGTGTACAGTTGGTAGTCTGCCATTTTCCTGTGGTGCTGTTGATGCTGACACAGGCACCAGTGTGTTCACTGGGCTGTCCAACATCCCAGGCTGTGTAAATCACCGGCCACACAGTGTTCATCCATGTAAATGTACCAGTGCTCTATAGACAGAATGACCAATGTCAGTTAATTACTACATCATTAAAATTAATAAGTTATGTATCAGGTCAAAGTCAGGACACTGCCTTATAATAAATAATATAATAGTCATCTGTGAAATTGTTTATTAAGGGCTTTTGCATTAAGGAAATAAAGTCACGGAACACACATCTGTGCTGTATACTGACAATATAAAATGATAACGCATCATGCACAGTCCAATCCCTACATTTTTTTAACCATAGGAAATTTAATCTCTAAAAAATGGTGTCCTTACCTTGATATCATTAAGTCCTATCCATGTTTCAACACCATCCACTAAGAGTCTGACAAAGGCTTGTTCAAACTCACTAGAGATTGTCACCAGGAAGGCCCCTTGTCTCGCACAGTCAGCTCGAGCATCGGGCCATGACTTAGGATTGGAGACAAACTTAAAACATCCATTACCAAAAGGCTTGTATCCTTGTTTACTGTTACATGGGTTAGGTATGGGTTCTGGTGTGGTAATATAGGTTTCTGTGAACATAAAACAAAGAAATCATCTGTTACATTTATCTCGTAGAATACAATGCCAGCTTGTTCAAATTCAAAACTGGAGATCATCATAAGGAAAGTCCCTTGTCTTGTTGAGTCCATAATAGATTCAAATCAATTATAAGCAAGTCCTTACTTCTCATGGTTTCACAGATGAAAGGTTCCTTATTGTCACAGCCTAAATCATCCCATCTCCCAGCATTGTGTTGATATCCATATATCCTTCCACACATGGTCTACACAGATTATATACAATCTGTTAATATTTACCTACACAATACCTATATTTCAAATTGTACATTACCTATACAATATATGTGTTAGTTCTTCATTAATTAAATGTATTTACACATACAATACAGTAAAGAACTGCGAACGATAGTATTATTCTCCCACCTGCCTCCAAGTCAATTTTCAAAAGTTAACACATTTGAATGATTTTTCATATCTATACAAAAATTCCTTTTTACAGGTAATGTGGTCTGTCATTTCACAAATTCAAACCAAAGCTTTTTGTGTTTCACTGGGGGGGGGGGGGGGATATATAAAAATGCTTATTTTTCACCAACTTCAAAGTGGTTTACAACTAAAACATTGTATTTTATTAATAATATATGTTAAATTTTATGTGAGTACAACATAAGACAAGATTTAAGGAATGTTTATTCATACTGTATATCCAAGAATATTTTAAAATGTGGTGATGCTTTAAAGCCCGATTTCAATGAAAAATATCGTCTACCCTTCTTATTTAAAGAGCTGGAATTAGGGGTAATTAACTGCTTAATACTGAAATTAAAATTATCAGTCAATTACCATTGAACTGTTCTTTGCATTCAACAAAGATTTTACGGCCAAATTGCCATTAGTATTAAATTAATTGGGTTTAAAATGTAGGCGGGAATCTCGAGTTAGCGTGCATAGTTCCTATGTAACATTACATCTATCTGTGTCTTCATTGGCTAAGAAACAAAAAAAATATCAACTGATACCGGTACATTTTTACTGGCATCAAAGGGAAATGACAAATACTAACAATCCATAAGCCTGACTTGCTTCTGCCAATGTAAAATGTAAATACTCCCCTCCACCTTGTAAAATGGTATTATAATACTTTTATCCCTGACCTTAATTGTAAAAATGTATAATGTTATATGTACTTACACTTCCTGATCCCCCATTGGGTTCTCCCTTGTACCAATTTGTGTAAGTGACATCATTATTGTCAGCCCAACGTACAACTCCATTGCTCAAGCGGAGACCAATCCAGGGGCTGATGTTCAACCCCCTCAGCAAAGTTGTCACAAAAGCTGTAACATGAAGATTCAATATCAGCAAGGTTGTCACAAAAGCTGCAACCTGAGGGTCCAACATAGCCTCCTTTAATGTATGCAATTAATTAAAGAAATAAACATCATTTTGGGTATACACGTAGCTGCTGGTCAGAGATCTTGCTAAGCTTGGTAGCTCACCATTATCAAGATCATGCTAAGCTTGGTAGCTCACCATCACTGAGATCAAGTTAAGATTGGTACTCATCATTATCTAGATCATGCTAAGCTCGGTAGCTCTGCAGTATAGAGATCAAGCTAAGCTTGGTAGCTCTGCAGTATAGAGATCATGCTAAGCTTGATAGCTCACCATTATCAAGATCATGCTAAGATCATGCTAGGCTTGGTAGCTCACCATCATTGAGATCAAGTTAAGCTTGGTACTCATCATTATGTAAATCATGCTAAGCTTTGTAGCTCTGCAGTATAGAGATCATGTTAAGCTTGGTAGCTCACCATTATCAAGATCACTGTTAATGCTGGCCAAGTAATACTTCTCCCTGCCCTGAGCCACACAGAATTTGGATGCATTGGACCATGACATAGGACTGGTAAACACCTTGTAGCATTTGTTGCTGTACTGTGCAGCTGAATATCCCCCTGGACAGTTCCCCTGGATTTTGGGAGGGGCAGGATTTGTAGGGGTGGCTCCCAGTCTCTTCTCACAAACAAATCCCCGTCTACTTGAACAGTGTTCATCATTCCATTTACCTGAATTGAAGGAAAGATTAATCATTGATTTATAAGCAGTTTGAACTTGTATATGAAAAATCAATTATGTATCTTAAGATCATGTGTATATGTATTTCAAACCCACAATCACATTAACTGAGATTATTTTGCTTTCAAATATCACTTCTTTCAATAATATAATTACCTGAGTGTGACTGTATCTCACAGTAAATTTGTAATCATACAATTACTCATTCTTCAGTGACAGAGTGATTTTGAGTAGCCTATGATTATTTTTCTCTGTGAATCTCACCATTAGCAACTCTGATTTCCACACAGTCCTCAGCACCAAAGAAGTCATTGGGTTCTCCTGGATACCAGCTAACGAACGACACCGGACTGCCATCAGACCACCTGGAGACAAGTACAGCATTGATAAAATCATTTTCAATTATCAGGACCAAGAAAAAATATATCATTCAGCCCAATAAAGGTAATGAACTACATGTATGTGACAAAACTTAAAATGATGAACTACATGTATGTGACAAAACTTAAAATGATGTTCTCAGCATTTAGATAAAGGTATCTTATACTCATTTAGATTGATATTTTGTAGGGATGTCAATCGATTACAGAATTGCTTATCGGTTAACCGCAAGACGTTCCAACCAATTAACCGGTTAATCGTAAGAAAAAATACACATTTTCTTGACATTTCTTTTTCAAGTAGCTCTACTCATAGTAAGATGTTAGAAACAATCTGTTTATCTTGATCAGGAAACTACATATACATATATTTTATTTCAATTTCAATAGATAAGAAAAAAATTATGAAAACCATAAAACATGCCTGAGAAATCAGACATTGATAGTTTTTTTAGAGCAGATGTTAAACATTCTGTATTGTAGCCATAATCAAAACTAAGTCTGAACTTTCACTTACATGTAATTTACAATGTTTGTCGAATAATATAATTTGATAGATAACTGCAAAAGATAGATATAATAATTCACAGTGCTCAATGGTGATTTATTTAACATCATTAAAGAATTACAGGACAGTTTGGGTTACGACCTGTTGTTTGTATACAGTAATTAACACTTCACAAACTGAGCAATTACCACCCGATCTCAATCAGGAGAACAATAATTACCTCCAAATCAGCTTAAATAGATATGTGAAAACAACAAATTGTAAACGTTTTTGTAGAAGTTTCATTTTTAAAAATGAATTGTAAGAAAATTGCATTCAAATTTACATACATTTTGTTTTTTTCCCCGACTAACCATTTACAGGTTTTCTAACCGATTACCATCGTTCTGACCGAGTAATTGGTTAACCGGTTGCAAATTGCCATCCCTAATATTTTGTAATGATCATGAATTGGTGCACTAAAATCTGCCAAATATATACATGTATATTAGTATTAAAATTAAAGACATAAACGTTTTTTTCACAGTAGTGTAAAATATATTCATAACCTACTTGTATCCAATGCCAAAGTCCACCTCACTCAATCCTATCCATAAATCTGCTGCTGAGGTATTTAGGATCTGAAGCAATACAAGAAATAATGATGTCAAGGTTTAACACCTTAATATTACATGTACATATTACAATATGATCTATAAATCATAGCAAACTGTCTTTTTAATTTTTACAAAGACAAATTGCTTATAGCAACATTCTTTTACATTTAAAAATTTATTTATGTTTAATGGACACAAATTAATCAAGATGTTCTAGGATACTGGGACAGAGAGAAAAAAAACGCAATTAGGGATCACTTTACCCGGCATCTGACTGTCTAGCTGTCCATCCGTCACACCCTATATCTTTAGAACTGTATGAGGTATGGATTTGATATTTTGCACATATATTGCTTGGCACTATGGCTTTTGTAAATTACCATGGTTACTGACCTTGTGACCCTTGATCTACTCTTCTAATAGTTTATAGTGCTGATATACAGCATATTTTTTTACATTTAAGAGGTAAATCTACATGCATGCTATTTAGCATGTGCACTGCTTGTCACAATCCACTTGACCTTTGACCTACTTTACAAAAAATACCCTGGGCAGTTTAATTTAACAAATAACGTTTGAATTTTGAGGGGCAGAATTTTGATAATAAGCATTTATGTATGTTTATGAGCTCATGATACTGTGCTTTGAAACTGTATAGTATTCAGTTACCACACAAACTTATATTTAAATGCTATGAAAATACAATGGGATCGGTATTCCACAATGGATCATGTAGGCTGACAATGGCAGTACAGACTGAAATCTCTTTTCCTGGATTGTTAGAAACATGTATTAATAAAATGATAAATAGTTATTTCGAATAATTTCAATTTAATTACTGTATACAGGGTTATTTTCACCCAGTTTTATTTTCACCCCTTAACACTTGCAGACAATTATGCCCCACTTTATATTCGCTTAGACAAAATTTTGCTTAAGAGAATATGCTGTATTTTTTTCATTCTCCCCTTTTTTAATTCGCCCACTAACAATGGAGGCGAAAGGGGCGAAAATAAAATGGGGGCAAACATTTCCCTGTGTACAGTATTCATTTGGGGGTTAGGGAACCATATTTTATTTGATTGTCAGATTCTATTGCAGTCTTATACTATCCATGGATGCCATTTTTCTTTGCAGGCTAATACACGAACTATCATGTTAATAGTAAATATTCAATAAGACACTGACCATTCTTAGATTTATTTTCATCTTTAATGAAGCAACAAAGCAGGCAAGGCAACACATGCATTCCCTGGAACACTCTAGTTATTATTATTAGACTAATCCTGATGCTGAATAAAAAACTGTACCCGTACACTGTTGGACTAACCTGATGCTGAATAAAGAACTGTTCCAGTACACTGTTGACAGCAATAAGATCCCCACCCTTAGTCTGACAGAAACGCCGAGCTTCTCTCCATGTCTTAGCCTGGTTCCCTGCCCCATCGGCAATCAGGTAACAGTGGTTCTTGTAGAACACCCAGCCAATGTCTGAACCACAGCTTCCAGCTAGAGACAGGGAATTCTTATTAAATAGTAATTCCATCAGAAATATAAAAGTATGTAATTATCTACAACATTAAAATCCTTTATCAATCAGATTTATTACTTACGGGGTCCAGCTGAGGGAGCAAATGGCGTCGTTCTCATTTTGTAAGAATGGGAACCTGAATCCAAACAAGAAGTACATTAGCACTTGCTCAAAAAATGAAACTGTAACGTATTCTTTGATATTTTATGGTATACATATATTCTTATATCTTTTATCTGTTGAACAACCATATGAGTGCTTTTCTCCGAGGTCAAATTCCTCTCATTAACAGTTGTTATAGTTTGTTTCAATAAGCTGGTACCTTTAGGGATTTTACAAATCCAATTTCGTTTGGAGTAGCAGTTCACATCATTCCACTTTCCATTCCAGACAACTAGTTCCACACAATCTTCTGATCCGTGGAAGTTGTTTGGTTCATGGTCTGCCCAGTTCACATAATCCAGACTTGATCCATCCTTCCATCTGTATACTGAATGAAAATGATACACTACATTTACCAGTAGGTATATACATGTACACTGTATGAAGCAGACTGTTCAGATTAAAACCTAGTACTTTCGTAACAAGAAAGCTATACTCTTTACTACTCTTTAATGTACTAGATGTCTAGGAATTTACCTTTCTGGTTTCCATCAACATGATTATCGTCCAACCCTATCCAGTAATTAGTTGTTGCCCCTCTGGAAAAGAAAATAAATTACATAAATTGTAGATTTCAGTTACTTTTTTTAAGGAATCATAAAAGGGTCTTAGAATTTCTACCAAACTTACACCAGTTGTCCTCGCCAGAGGGCGTTGGCATCTGCAGCATTGTGGAAGCTGGCTAAGTTAGCTCCCTGGTTTCTGCAGTCCTCCTGTGCATCATTATAATAAGCCATTCTGTTCTGAGGCTTATTGTTTACCTATGTAAGTGTACCATTAAATGTTAATTTTTCCAGTGGTGTCAAAGCACATATAAATGTAAGGCATGTTATGGTAAGATTTAGCATACCGGTACAATGAAAGAGACCTTTAAGTCACAAGGAACTAACTTCCAATTACTGACACATAATAAAAAGAATTTCAGTTAATTATAGATTTCCTGATCTATCTCCAGTACCTGGTAGCAGTAGTTGTTGATTTCAGTCCAGCCATTAGGACAAGGTGTGCCTACTGTTGTTGGAGGGGGAGTGGCAGGAGATGTGAACCCTAGTCTCATCTTCTCACACACTGCCCCTGAAGTCATGTTACACAGGATATCGTACCACAACCCTGCACGAGCCCCCGAGTTCATAGCCACACAGCGAGAGGTGCCACCTAATGAACCACAAGTATAAAACAGTCACAGGTTAAAAATCAAATGCAGATTATTGATACCAAACAATAAAAATAGTATAAGACATTGAGAAATCATGCAATTTTTCATCTTTAGTTAACACAATCAAAATGGCTATTGTTCTAAGGAAACAGTCTTCAAATATTTTTTAGCTTGGTGAAGTTCAGACCATATGTAAACTATGGCACGCAGTCATATCCCCCTCTTCTTACCTGCTGGTCTCTGATTACCCCAGTTTGTGTAGGTGAGGTACGGGAATCCGCTGTCATAGTAACGATATGTTCCAGGTGACCGGAGATCAGTCACATCTGTCCAGTACATGCCTGTCTTCTGTCCAAGGACACTGGATAAGTAAGACTGCTCATACCTATCAGAAATATAGAAATGTGTACTCTGAAATACCATAATGTAATGTAGAAATTGTTGTGTATCAATTCTTCTTATGCAAAATACGAGGATATTTCATAAATAATGTTTTTAAAATAGCACTTTTGCATCATTTAACTCTGAGAAATATGTAATCATTCCAAAAACTGCACAAAAACAAGTGAAGTTCATGTAGGTATCAAGCACTTCCTAAGACATTCTCACATCAGTTATTTCACAGGGAAGATCCTCAATTAGTTACAATATCTAAGATCAGTAATTGCTTCATACACAAGTATTGTATAAGGGTTTATATTGGTACATTGTAACGCTGTTATATAATGTTGCTGATTTTTCCTTAAGCATCTTTACATGGGTGTTTGAATTTGAGTAAAGATTCAGATTGTCTCCAACATGTATATAAAAGCTTCTGTAATAAGTCATATAATAATTTCTCCATTTTGAGTTTTTATTAAAAGTGCAAATATAACTAACATTTACATTGTTAGCTTTCCCACTAAATAGTTATCACACAGTTTGCTAGATATTATAGAAAAAAGAATTTTTTTAAAAAATTTAATTAGATTTCAAAATTAGCCCAAATTGTTCTATACACTAAGGAGAGTTGAATTTAGGAGGCATATTGTTTAGCATGATTAAGCCAAAAAGAGTTGTTTTGTTGTTGTTGTTTTTTTTTTTGGATGTACTTAGGTTTAAAAAAGGAAAATAGAAATTCCAAAACATCAATGCAAGGACTATAAAGTCTCAATACTCTTTACTCAAAGGTGATATTTATCAAATTCAAAAGAAATTGGTTCTGGAGAATATACTGAAACTGTTCAAAATTTACCCACAAGAGAGAGAAAGAGATATGAGTGACCCAAAGAAGAGCAAAACCTTATTTTCATTTGAAGAAAATAAAAAAAAAATGCATCTTTTAATGAAAAAGTGTAAAGATAAACAGAATGATTTTTATTCTACAGGTAAAAAGTGTCAGGATTAGGTTCATGTTTTCAGGAATAAATCATCCCTTTACCTGTCATTGATCTGTACAAGGGTGGCTCTATTGTCCCTACAGACCCTCTGGGCATCCAGAAAAGCTCGGGGCATGTCTAATACCAAATAACAGGACCAGCGGTAGGCAGTCCAACCCTTCAGACAGAAAAGTCAAACTGAGATGCAATATTATCTATATCTCATAATTGCACCACACAAATTCGTCAACTGAGCAGATCAGAACATTGTATGATGACCTCAGCAGAAAATAAATCATCTAGAGACTTTTGTTTCAAATTAAAAATGGGTATTCATTTTCAAACACCTGCAATAGGCAGGTCATGTTACTAGTATATATCATTAGTAACCAATATTTGAAGATTTACTCCCTTACTTGTTGACAGCCCTGGACTTGAGGCGTAGTGGTGGGTTTCTCGGAGGGTCTCTTGTCCGCCTGACATACAAACTGATAAGTAGAGTCACAATTGTCTGTCTGCCAGCCTCCATCCTTAAAAATACACATGTACTCAGAAAGTAACAGTCTGGGTTTATCAGACTTTTTAAGGAATTGTTTTCATAGAAAATCATATAGTTTGATACATGTTTCTTTTTATTATCAAAGATTGTCAAGCTAGGTTTATCAAACACTAACAATAAATCAAATACATTGTGCCAGACAGAGAAACCTTTCTTCCTGCTCAAAACCCCTAAACAAAACTGGCTAGCTGTGGCTCTTACTGTAGCTTTATGCAGATTTCTGTTCAGTATTTCTTTTTATTCTTATTATAGCAGTAAGCATTTCTTTTCAGTATTATTTCTGCAGTAGCACTAAGCTTTTAGTATTTTCTGTAATTAATATCTTTGCATTAAGCACTTCTGTTCAGTATTTTCTAATTCTTACTTTGGCATTATAAGCATTTCTATTCAGTATTTTTTGTCATTCTTACATAGGCATAAAGCATTTCTTGTCATACTTACCGTAGCATTAAGCATTACACATTTCTGGTTGGTGTTCCCAGGTTGTCGCGGTTGATTGACGTTCCAGTTGGTGAACCTAACCCTGTCTCCTCTGACCCACTCAAACAAGTTGGACTCATGATGGTCATTCAGGCCAATCCAAACATCTGATCCCTGGTCTGTACATTTTTTTTTTCAAAAATTGAAAATAATTTAATTAAATAGAAGGAAAAATTAAGAATTCCAATTCAAAATTAAAATATCTTTTCATCAATTTCAATGAAAACTCCTTTCAAAATGGAAAAGAATTCAATGAAAGAACTGGTGTTTAAAAAAAAATTGATCAAGATAAGAAAAATAAGTACCAGGTACACATATCAAATGACATGGAATTCACAGTACAACTGTAAATTTTGTCATACTTTTTAAAATAACAACTTGTATATCACTATTGGTAATATTCAGCATGTGCAGAATCAGATTTACAGGGAGAAAGGAATGAAGCTGATATCAATAACCAACTGACATTTAGTCATGCTCTAAAGGGCTTGTAAACTGGACAGTAGTTTTCTATCAGCCTGTAAATTGACAATTACTGATGCCCGTTAGGGGATTGTGGACTAGAGCCTTGATTTCTATCGGCCTGTAAACTGATGACTGTTGATGAGTGAGTTTTGTTTTCTATTAGCCTGTAAACTGATGACTGTTGATGAGTGAGCTTAGTTTTCTATCAGCCTGTAAACTGATGACTGTTGATGATTTAAGGGGAGTCAAATTTAGCCTAGTTTTCTATCAGCCTGTAAACGTACTGCTGCTGATAATGCTGTAGACCATGTCCTGCTCGGCCTGACTGTTGACGGTGACCAGGTCAGCTCCCATGGATTGACACTTGGACCGGGCCATATTCCAGCTATACTTATTCAGGATCATCAGATAACAATGGTTGTTGTAGTCTTTCCAGTCCGGCAGACAGACAGAATTAGCAGGAGCTACAGAAAAACAGACAGATCAATTCAAGATCAAATGCTCAGAGTTAGTATTAAACAACAAGTACTTGTAACCAAATAATAATTTTTTAAGAGTTTTAAAAGAAGCAAGATTTTAGCATTTGCAACTATAAAATGATGTTTAATCTAATTTTAGTTATCAATATAGAACATTTAATGTGTTTTAATCGAGTTTATATAGAAAAATTACAAGGGAGCTTGAATGCCTTAATTCCTATCTTGAAATTAAACTACCAGGTAATGCTTATAATTTAGTTTTTAAGAGAACCATTTCTTCAAGAGTGTAATATATGACTTACTGAGTCCTGTTGTGTAGATCATACTGGATTGTCTCCCTCCACATTGGTATCTTGTCAAAGGGAAACAACTCAGGTTACAGTCTGTGGCAGGTCCATATCTCCCATATGAATTACCACAAAAACATTTAAACTGGGCCTGCAGACCAGCATAGTAATATCCTTTGTTGAAACAATGGTGAACACACATGGGTGGCCACATTCCAACTGATGGGTCAGTAAATGGTTCGTATGTCAAATCTCGGTCATGTGGATTGTCAGCATAGCAACCAACTCTGGTTCCAGAATCTGCACCTAAAAATAATTTCTTCATCAGCCAATATCCTAACAAAATCAATTTACCACTTGTACTTGGATTCATATTCAGCTTTTTGGATAAAGATGTGCTTTATTCGGTTATTTTAGGTTTTTATTTTTGTGTGGAATAAATCACACTTGACTAAATAATCACATTGTATATGTACTGCAAATCATTCAAATCAAATGTCAGAGAGAGCCATATGTGTTTCACTGTCTTGTAATTCATTTTTTGTCCAGTTTATAATTTTGTGATATACATTAAAATAACATGCAGTTTATAACTTATATGTTTCACTCATTAACAGTACATCTGTCTGAATTTACATCCTACTAAAAGATCAAATCTAATGTAAACTACCTGGGCACCCATAAACCTCCCATCGCAGAGCTATCCTGGAGTGGAAGTTTGTTGGCCACAGCCTTATTTTCCTTGCTATCATTGGGATGCTCAAGTAATGTTTCCTCACTGTGTTGCTATCAAAGTTACCTTCAAATTTCTGAAATAATTTTCAACATTTAACACACTTGTATCCTTGAATTATGCTTTTGATATTAAGTTGTTTATTCTCAGTCTTCATTTAAGTATTAAGGCTTTCACAATTGTATGGGAACTTTGCACATACTCTTACAAACTTCACTTCAGCTCCTCTCCCTTAAATTGAATTATTATACATGTACATATTCCATTAGATTGTTTGTTTTTTGTAAGAATGAATCCATCTTTAGTACGGTCATATACCTACTAATGACCAACGTAACATCAATTTCTCTAAAACCTCTAGTAATCCCAATTAAATTGATGAGATGCAATTACAAATCTTATTTTGGTTCTGACTTACAATGGGAACTCTGGTGAATGCATCATATATAAGCCATCGTACTCCATTCACAGAGTAAGAAAGTGTGTACTGGGTTACCCACTCTGATCTCTCCTGACGACCTTGAGTTGCTATAGCAACAATCTGTATTCCAACACCAAAATCTGCCTAAAACGTGCAACAGCTTCGATTAAAACAGCATTAATGTTTTATTCAATTATCTCCATGGTTCAGATAACAAAACTAAAATTGTGTAACTGGCCGGTATATTGAATATTTTACATTTTGTTTGTTTCAAATGAAAATTCTCAAAATTAATTAGTTTAGCTAAAAATCTGTGTTTGCATGTGACATAAAAAGTAGAAATCCTTTTTGATGTGGTAAAATAAATTTAACACATAGATTATTTTGAAAGGTTAACAATTTTGCTTAACCTCTATATACTGATGTGTGTCCTGGTAGAGAGGAACCCATGCCCCAGCGTATGTCCCCTGGGAGGGCTGATTTAGACGACTTCGTGCAGGGCCATGGTCATTGTCCATTGAAGATGAGGCATTTATCATATCATCAGGTAGCTTCTTCTTGCCACTGATGAGGGGCTCTGCATTACAGCCTGCAGGGATTATAAGAGTATGTACATTCACGCACATCTCAAATAAACAAAGAAAGTGGAACATGTCAGTTTAATGCACCTTTGAAGCTTGAATGCAAGTATCATTATCCCTGTAATTGTTGGAATCTATTTTCCACAAAAAGTTTACAGTGGCTACTAGTATTCAATGGTACTGTGAATTTTTTACATGATGTATTTTACGTTCCCTCATTTTCATAAAACAACAGCAGGGCATTCCTCCCTGATACATAATGTTTGCATGTCAACCACGTACCTAGTTATTATAGTTATACTACTAGTTTTTATAAACAATTTACTTTTCTATCTAAAAGAATCTGTGCATAAATAAAGTTCTTGCAAATAAAATGTGATTGCATCATTTACAGTATTATGAACTCTTCACATTTATCATCGAAAATTCTAATAGACACAGGGCGTATGGCATACGTCAAGCTCTCCTGGACTTAACCAGGTAGTTAAACAATGTAAATGAAATTTACATACCATGTTGACAAACTAGAACATCAAATCTCATAGAGATTCCTCCATGGAAAGTGATAGGTATGATTTTAATGTAACGAGCTGCAAACTGGAGTTTGAAGAAGTAGGTTGCTGTGTCATTGTTGTTTACATTTCCAAGGATTGTCTATAATAAATAGAAATTAAATGTTTACACAACACAAACATTAATCTAGGAGAGTGAAAAACTTATAAAGAGCTGGATACTTTGCTTACAGGAACAATTTTGAGTCTTGACATTGATCTTTGATGAAGATCCTTCAAAATCTATTGGTCTTACTCTCTTTTATTATTCCTTCTTAGTATTCCCTATAAAACTGCATGTATGTCACATAAAAGTGTGTATGGGCAGCAAAAATAAACCCAACCTTGATCATATAACTTGACAATCTGCAGAAAATCTAGCCCCAAGACCATAAACTGAGATAGACTTAAGTCAAAATTTCAAACCAATATAACTTTTGAAATAATTTTGATAATAAAACAAAATGTTCATCTTGTATTTAAATTTTAATGTTATATAAAATTGCAAAATTTTAAGCAAATACATTAAATAAAACTCAAGATATTAAAAATCAAAATTTTGACTTAAGTATATTCTCAGTTTATGGTCTTGGGGCCTAAACATTGCTTACTTCAATGATTTGAAAATGAAGTCTGGAGATTAAAAAAGTACCTTTGGTTATGCATCATATAAATGTACTCTGGTTGTTACAATTATCATTACATTTGACCTTGACAACTGAACTAATCGGTTTCATCCTCAAACCATCCATCTCCTCTGATTTTATTGAGTTGTTTAAGTCACAACACATCAAAGTTATCACTATACACTAACATATAATCATATCTATCATTTTGACCTTTGACCAAGTGACCCAAATTTATTTTTTCTTGGTTTGGTTTGAACATACTTTATTGTAATTTCTAATTACGAAAGAATTGGGTACAAGTTCTAAAAACTTATTACACTCTCTCCCTAAAATGTCTTCACCTCACCATCCCTGCACCTACTATTATATAGTAAATGAGAAGAAATATGGTGTTCACATTTCTTTAAGCTGACCACATTTACGTTGACCCAAATTAAGAATCCTCAAAAACTGCAAAATTGATACAGGTGACTCTCGATGGCTCGAACTCCGATCTCTTGAAGTTCTCGATCTCTCGAAGTGAACCTCCGGTCCCGTTTTTTCCCTCTATATAACTAAGCAAATTTACTTCCGATCTCTCGAACTTCCAATCTCTCGAAGTTCTCTATCTCTCGAACCAAGACCTGGGTCCCGTTACACACATTTTATTGTTTTTTTACTCTCTATCTCTCGAAGTTTTGATTGCGTGTCTGTACACGCCAATCAAGCGTAAAATTAATACAGCTTGGACTTACCTGGATAACGGTGAACGCCTGGGGTGGGCATGAAGGTGTTAATTGGGTGTTTACATAGATGACACTATACCTGTGAACATCCGAGTGTTGATATAAATAATTAATTGGTTATAATTGGTAAATTAGAAAGGAATTGCTTCACAACTTATTTTGACTTGACAGCGAGACGAAAATTTTTAGAAAATAATTTAAGAGGGTTGTCAATAATTTTCCATAGATTATGAAGTTTTATTAGAGTGTACATAATCCCAATATGATAAACATTGCATAAGAAATCCTATCTCAAGAATTAAATACCGATTTAATACAAGAAATCTGGTAAAGGACCCGATCAAGCCCGGGGGGTAGCCACACCGGCGATTGCTATTCAGGTTTTATGTAATCATGAAATGAGAACAAATAAATATTGAAACTTAAAGATATCGTTTTATTTATTCAAAATACGATCATTGTTGTTGAAATCAAGTGAATTGCCTGTAAAATACGCATGAAAACGTGTAATGATAATATCAACATATACTTCCGGTATTTATAATAGTAGAACAATGATGATCGGAACTGAAAATTCCGGATTTTATTCACTTTCTATCTCTCGAACCCCTCGATCTCTCGAACTTTTCTTGTGGTCCCTTGAACTTCGAGAGATCGAGAGTCACCTGTACATCATGACAAATGACAGTCTTTTCTTACCTTCACATTTCCATAAGGTTCCTGATAGAAGTTCTCCTGGGTATCCACACGGTAGATGATGTTATATGAAGTGACCCACTCTTGTCTGAGCGTGCTCCCCATGGTTGTGATTCCTCGGATTATCATGGATTTCCCTAGATCTACTTGAAGCCACTGATTACTGTCATCCACTGCAGCCTTCCACCCCGCCGGTAGCTTTAGGGGGTTGATGCTGTGAAGCCTTGCTGCTGTGTTACTATGGTTTGGGTCTGACATGGAGGACACAGTTATTTTGTTGTCATCCACAATCAGTGGTCCACTTACAGCATACTCATCTCTACAGAAATCTGAAAACCCAACAAAACCTACCATTTAAAATTAAATGATTGCATTTAAAAAAAAAACCCAACAAATTATTAGTCTCACAGTGTATACTTTATAACTAACAAATAAAAAAGATTTATAAGTATATAAATTTCTTTTTCAGCTATAATCAATCTTCAGTGGTCACTTAAGTATGAATGTGGGCACTGACCTTCAATACACCCTAATATGTCCCAGCGTAAGGAGATAGAACCATGCCAGGTTTCAGGGTACAGTCTGATAGCCTTAGCCTCTATAGGGAACTGTATTGTATTGTTCACTGGGTTCATGTTGTCTGTGTTTCCAGTAAACACCTGTTGGAATGATTAGGTGAAATACAAAGCTTAAACAAATATATCTTTTTATCCCATGTTTACCCCTTTATCCTGTGGATATGACTCATTGGATAAATTTTTCATAATCCACAGTTGTGATGTCACAATGGTTTTTGCGTTAGCGCGATGAAGTAAAATAAAGTGGAGTCCTATATAAAACAGTGTAAAACATTGGTTGTGAAGTATTAAACATGGGATAAAAAGAATCTCCCATGATTTGTAGTTGGATATGACTTTTATCCAACTCGTTGTGTGTTTTTATCCCCTCGCCAAGGCTCGAGGATAAAAAACACACAACTCGTTGGATAAAAATCATATCCAACTACAAATCATGGGAGATCCTATATATCTTATATAATGAGAATAATTCACACAGAAAACACAAAGAAAATTGTCATAGTGGAGCATAAACACTTTGTAAATGAAAATGCTAATGCTTACTGTGTTGATTTTTTCACATTTTCTATTCAAATTATTTTCATTATACTACTTATTAGTGGTTATATAGATTTCAATCCATGTCCTTGTATCTATAATTACATTTGGCTGGCACATATTTACAATCCCCCCGTCTTCACCTTGATAGTTACATTTGTCTGGACATATTTATAATCCCCAAGTCTTCACCTTGATAGTTACATTTGGCTGGCACATATTTACAATCCCTCAGTCCTCACCTTGATAGTTACATTTGGCTGGCACATATTTACAATCCCCTAGTCCTCACCTAGATAGTTACATTTGGCTGGCACATATTTACAATTCCCCAGTCCTCATCTTGATAGTTACATTTGGCTGGCACATATTTACAACTCCCCAGTCCTCACCTTGATAGATACATTTGGCTGGCACATATTTACAATTCCCCAGTCCTCATCATGATAGTTACATTTGGCTGGCACATATTTACAATTCCCCAGTCCTCATCTTGATAGTTACATTTGGCTGGCACATATTTACAATCCCCCAGTCCTCATCTTGATAGTTACATTTGGCTGGCACATATTTACAACTCCCCAGTCCTCACCTTGATAGATACATTTGGCTGGTACATATTTACAATCCCCTAGTCCTCACCTAGATAGTTACATTTGGCTGGCACATATTTACAATTCCCCAGTCCTCATCTTGATAGTTACATTTGGCTGGCACATATTTACAATCCCCTAGTCCTCACCTTGATAGTTACATTTGGCTTGAGCATATTTACAATCCCCAAGTCCTCACCTTGATACTTACATTCGGCTGGAGCATATTTACAATCCCCCAGTCCTCATCTTGATAGTTACATTTGGCTGGAGCATATTTACAATCCCCCAGTCCTCACCTTGATAGTTACATTTGGCTGGCACATATTTACAATCCCCCAGTTCTCACCTTGACAGTTCCTGGAGGTTCCTCATACCAGTTCCACTCAGAGTAATAGTCATACTGGTAACGAATCTTGTAACTCATGACCCACTCAAGGGCATCCGAGCGACCCATTGTGACAACACCCTTAATGATGGTCATGTAATAAAATGACACCTGGATTAACTGGCCCTTCACATTTGACAGAGCTCTCCAGCCACCTGGAATAAGATGAATTATATATAACAATGTATGTCTCAAAAATCCCTTAAATCAGAATAATGGAAATTCAAAGCAATGTTTTAAAGGAAATGAATTGTACTCTTAGTTTTGGAAGACTCTTATCAAAATTTACTTGTTAAAACTACTGTAGATTCCTAAATATATGTGTGGAATTAATAATCGCGTAATTTCCCGAGAAGCACCCCTTGCGAAATTAAATTACTCGCTTTTATTTTCATGGTGCTGAAATCTATGTAAAATCTCTTGATCATTCGCGAATTATTATTCTCGCGATTTGACGTTGAAGAGCCCTTTCGCGATAATAAGTACTCGCGAAAAATAAGGAATCTACAGTAATTCTCACAAAATTCTAAAACTTGTTTTAAAACTATGCATAATACTTAACAGATAGTTGTCTAAATTAAAACAAGAGGCCCATGGGCCATATTGCTCACCTAAGCACTTTGGCTAAAGGAAAGCAGAAATCATTATTGAATAGTTTAAATATATGTGCTCCCCCCTCCCCAAGAGGAGCGGGGGGGGGGGGGGGGATTTGAACAAACTTGAACCTGCATTAACTAAGAATGGCTTTAAAAGATTTTTTTAAAGATTTTTTCCTAAATATCCCTATGATTTGAACAAACTAAATTACACTATGTAATGAGGCTTTCACACAAGTTTCATCTTTAATGGCCCCATGGTTTTTGAGAAGAAAATTTTTAAAAGATGCCATTAAATTTTCAATAATTCTTTATGACCCCTCCTAGAAGGAGGATATGGCCCTTCATTTGAACAAACTGGAATTTGCTTGAAATTAGCCCAGTGGTTCTTGAGAAGAAGTTGAAAATGTTTAACGCTTACAGACGACAGATGACACAAAGATGCGGACACCCTTCAATCAGAAAAGCTCATTTGAGCCTTTGGCTCAGTGAAGCTTAAAAAAAAATCTCTGCACCCAAATAATTTCAGCCAGCCATGTGTCTCTGTGTTTACCTTTACTTCCAGGGTAAATCCTGGAGGCTTGAGCAGAGTGACCAGTATCGTGGACAGATGTGGCTGTAATCCTGTCATCTAGAACACTGTAGTCCCCAGAAATAAGGGGCTGGGCAACACAGCTCTCTGAGATACAGGAATGGCAATTTTAAATCAGAACAAGGTTTCTATGATCATGCATTCTTTAAAAGAGAATTTTAAAAGTATATAGTTACAGAGTTAGGTTCAGTCCAGTCCTCTAGAAGTGAACTTACTTGGCGTGAGTGGAGTTGGTGCTCCAGCTGTAGTTGTTGGCAATATGGCTACACAAAAATATTTTTAAAAAATTTATCAAAATTGTCTCCAAACAACAGACCTAGTGCATGTACATTCTTTTTATCTAGTAAGTTTTAGTGGCTATTTCAAACCACCAAAAGATTAATCAGAAGCACAAGCAAAGATTCAATTTAATTCCATTCCTGAAGCTTTACTAACAGGCATATAGTGAAGTAATACCTGGCTTTTTACAGATATACTGTTGTTCATGGTCACATCGCTTGTCATTCCACTGGTACCCCCAGGAGGTGACCATCTCCATACAATCCTCCCCTGTCAAGGCCTCATTTGGTTCCCCTATAATAAAATACTCATTATTTCATAATGAACTGCGAAGATTTTTCTTCATATAGCTAGCAAATAGCTAGCAATAAAGGAAATTTCACTGTGTTTGAACAGTAACTTTTAGTTTCAAAAGTTTATGTATGGCATGAGATTCAAAGGTGTTATGTCAAGACAAGAATTTCATTCCTCTTATTCCTGTCAAAGAAGTTATGTACAATGAAATCTAAAATAAGTCATCAGTTTTTAAAGTTTTTTTTTTAAATTTTGACAAATCTATCACAAAATACAGATGCACAAGTTCAAATGGTATTAATTGAATCTAAAAAAAATATAGAATAATTTCTGATATCATCTCCAAAGAAAAAATGTCTACAGAAAACACCTACACTGTATGTTGAGATCTAAGAGTCCGAAAATTTGTAGCAAGATATCAATTTATCATGGACTAGGCCTGACTTAACTGTTTACCGGTATTTGCAATTCCTTGCTTTCTTAAATTTGATCCTACCTGGATGCCAGTTGAGATAAGCAAAAGGTAGTGTGGCATTGATCCACTCCCAGCCACCTTCCCTTGTGGCATCAGATCCACCAATCCAAAAGTTTGACTGAATGCTGGCATATACACCAGTGCTCAGAATTCCTGCCAAATATTAAACTCCTGCATAAACAGTCTAAACAAACCAGAAACAACCTTCTTCATCTAAGTCAGTCATGAAACAGGTGTATGTATGAAAATACCACATGTATTGATATTTTACTCATAATATTACACTTTCATATAATAATTCTTCCAGTAGTTGCTATACATTGACATATGCAACTATTGGAACAATTTTCGACAGTCGTATTAAATAACATGCTGTAAACCAAGTATTATTCTCGCCATCTTTTATTCGTGATTCAGCAGTCCAAAATATATTCCCAACAATTAATTTTTGTGATCTAAGAAATATTCTGTACATATATACAGCAAAATAGATGGTTCATGGCGATAAATATTTGCGAGTTAAAGAAGGTTGCGAATCTCACGGATATTTATCGCACGTGAATAAATGCTGGTTTACAGTACCTTGAATGTAATGCTGCTCTCTAACACTTTCTATATTGAGCAAGGTGCCCATCATTTGGTTGCAATCCCACAATGCTTCATTCCATGTCTTTGGTTTTCCCAGCACCACCTTGTAGCATGTGCTACTGAGTGTGTTTGATATCCATCCCTGACCACATGCAGCATTCCAAGGTGCTGCAAAGACATTTTGTCAGACATTTAAAACATAGTCATTCCAAAACATTGCTGAACAAATTATGAACTTAAAAACTTTTTTTTTTGAGAAGATGGATTAATAAGGAAATAACAGACAAGGGTGAAACAACTCAAAACAATAATATTAAATCCTTTCCATATGTGCATACATATTATAACTTATAACACATGTACACACCAACACAATAGAAATATCTGTACAGTAATAGCTTATAATAAAGTTATAACGAAGTGATTTTCATTCCCTGTGGCTTTGAAATACGTGTATATTGTAAACTTATCGGATACATGTATAAGAATTAAGCTTATGAAGAAGCAAAATCGTCTGTCCCTGGCACTTCATTATAAGCAGGTTTTACTGTATTTACCTGGGGTAGTTGATGGCTGTACAGTTGACATTGCTCCAGGTTCTGTGAAAATGTAGCAAATTGTTCAATTTTTACAAGACAACTGAAAATTATCGTCACATAAAAAAGTTAAGTGTATACACCTGTTGAGATCATTGCACTGTATTCTAAACATAAGTTAAAATATTCCTGAACTGCTTTGACAAGGAGACTGGATAGTAAAGCCTAACCTGCTTTTTTTCTACATATAAAACTCAGTGGACTGGTACAGTTTTCATCATCCCAGGCTCCTGTAAAATCCTGTCGTCCAGACTTTATTTTGACGCAGTAATCACCATCATCTACATCATCTGGTTCACCGGGGAAAAAATTCTGAAACCCACTCTACAAAAAAAAAAAATACAAAAATGAAGAAAAAAATTAAATTAAACATCTACATATCATTATTGTATTCTATTTTATAATTATTAAACCTTCGCCAATTCTGAAAAATGTTTTAAACTTCACATAAACCAGCTTCATGTGCTTTACATCAGCTAGCTAATAATCTTTGACAAGACCTACATTGACAAATCTTGTATCCACCCATCTAAATTTCTGATACTCAGCACTGTACTTTAGTCCAATCCAAGATGTCCCAATGTCAGGTATATGTTCTGGAAATGTTATGTTTAATTAGATGTAACACACCAACACATAGTATTTTCAAGAAGCACAATAAAAATATAGATTTAAAGGACTGTTTATAAGTGGATGACATGTGATAAAGTCTTGTTTATAAGTAGTGTTTTGTGGATGTCTTGAGAAATTGGCCTGTTTATATTAAGTAATGTTTGTGTGGATGACTTGTGATAAAGAACTGTTCATAAGTATTTTTTGTTTGCATTACCTGTGGTAAAGGACTGTTCATAAGAGGTTTTTTGTGGGAATTACCTGTGATAAAGGATTGCTCATACGGATCTCTAATTGTAGTTAAGTCAGAGTCACCACCATAACTATAACAGACATGTCTAGCATTGGTCCAGGACTGGAGTGAGTCATTCCCAAATAAATAACAATCAGATCTGTACTGTAACCAGCCACTATTACAATGAGTCTGGGCTGTAAACAATAAAATAACAGTCAGATCTGTGCTCTAACTGGCCACTATTACATTGAGTCTGGGCTGTAAACACATAAAATAAGTCAGATCTGTGCTATAACCAGCCACTATTACAATGAATCTGGGCTGTAAACAATAAAATAACAGTTAAATCTGTGCTGTAACTGGCCACAATTACAATGAGTCTGAGTTGTAAACACATAAAATAACAGTCAGATCTGTGTTGTAATTGGCTACAATGACAATAAATCTGGGCTATAAAAAAAAAGTTAGATCTGTGCTGTAACCAGCCATTATTACAATGGGTCCTGGCTATAAACACATAAAATAACAGTCAGATCTGTGCTGTACCTGGCCACAATTACAATGAGTCTTAGCTGTAAACAATAAAATAACATGTACCCGGTAGATCTGTGCTGTAACCAGATCACTGCTTTAACCCCCTATTGTGGCCCCATCCTAGCCCACTGGTCCAGTTATTCTTGACATGATTTTAAAATGAACCCACCATATTTTGTTTATTTCTTAATTATCTCCCCTTGAAAAAGGGTGAGTTTGGGGGGAAAAAAACTTGAATTCTCTCCACCCAAGGATAACTTGTGGCAAGTTTGGTTGAAATTGGTCAACTGGTTCTGGAGAAGAAGTCACAAATATGAAAAGTTTATAAATGACACAGTTGCTGGACATCCTTGGATCAAAAAGCTCACTTGAGCCTTTGGCTCTGGTGAGCTAAAACAGGTTAAAGACAATATTTGTGTAAATAGTTTGCTTTTTAATTTTTCCAGTAATGTGAGCTTACCTGGTTTTTTGACATTTGTGATTCTTGTTATCATTTTAGCTTTACATATAAATGGCAGTGATATAAAACAGTATCCATTGGACCAAGAAGACAATGAGGATCCTGAAATTAATATCAGTGAAAAATCCATTTTTTTCAGCATTTTTTGTTTTAAATCTTTGAAAATACGAAGACCAATTTTCTGGTTCCTGATATATATAGAACAGAGTACTAACCTGCCTGAACCTTGCCACAGTCAGCCTGATTAGGGCTGGGTTTAGGGAAGCCAGAGCTCCAGTTTGTATAGTTACCAGACACCAGGTTACCATTCACCCATTTCAGCACATCAGCTTGAGATTCATCTATACACAAGAAAACACAGGTTAGAAACACATGTTAGTTGAAAACCATGGTTTATTTTATACAACAAAAACTTCTACCGTAAGAATTTTAGTCTTTCCTCATATATACATATTTTGACAGTGCAAATGAATAACCCAGCTTGTTTTTTTCTGACACAATAAACATACCCGAGAAACCAATCCAAGCTGTAGTGACTTTCTGGTTGTTCATTAATTGTTGAATGAAATGATCCTCTGCTGAACTGTAGAATATCAAGAAAAAAAATCTTTTTATGGCCTGACCATTTTATTTTGTTATGTAAGCTTTACTTTCCTCATTAACATGTACCGGTACATGTATCTTAATTCTACAAAGCACAGTATTATAAACTCAACAGTGATGAGATCAAGTTCCAATACTCAGCTAGTAGAAAATTTACATTTCAAGTGAACAGAAGCATTAATTCACCTTACTTTTAAAATTTATGTCACCATATAGCTTTAGACTGTGACTTACTTTCCAATTATCAGAAGTGATGTGTTTTGGTTCTCACAGTACTGCTTAGCAATGAACCAGGTGGATCGTAAGCCACTTATGTCATTGATCTGGTAACAGTTGTCTAAGTAACTCTGCCAGCCTACTGGACAAGTCCCTATAGAAAACAAGACAAATCAATTCAACTTTTCATATTTTTTTATATTTGAGTCAAAGGACTATAGTGATGGCTGGAAGTTTCAAACATATAATTGCAAAATATTTAAAGAATGCAAATCCACTTAATTAGATGTGTGGTTGATATACTGTAAATATATACCTGCTTTTTTCTCACATAAGAATTTGTTTTCATCACTACAGAGTGTAGCTTGCCAGTAGAAATTGGACATGGGATTGGAGTAAACACAAGTGGAACCTCTCTTTCTGTGAATGTAAATGTTAATTACTATATATATTTCTTTGTGTCAAAAAAAAAAATGACACTACAAGATTCAGTCAACATAACTTTGCTCAAACATTATGAAAATGCCAGAGACTTACACAATAGTTCTTCCATAAGAGTAAAATGCTTGATATCTTAATGTTTTGTTGTTTATACCCACAAAGTGTCCAGGCCAGGTCTGTAGTAAATGATGAAATGAGGCAATAATTATCATATAAAGATCAAACCTTGTTATCTCAATCTCAATAGGGCTTAGAAAAAACTTTGAAATAGTCTAGGATTTCAAAATATTGAGGTTAAAACTATCTATATCAATTTTCGAGATATCATGATATTCAAGATATCAATGTTCAAGATACCAGAGTTCAACTGTATTATATCAACTTCATTTAGAAATTGGGTTCTATTAAGTATTTACCAATATCACCCAAAGAAAAAGCCAGGACTTACAGTGTCTGAAATCCCTAACCAAGCTTTCTCCTCAGGAGTTCGACAAGGAATGAGGTCACTGATGGACTGTACCATCATACGAGTTGTTGGGATATATAGGTCACCATTGTTCTGTTGACAAACAGTTCGAGCATCAAACCAGTTTCTCTTCTCCTCAAACAATTTATAACAGTATCCATTGATATATTCCCAGTTGTCCCCAGAGTCGCACAACTCAAAGGAATCTACAAACACAACAACAAAGTTTAGACAAGGATTCTACAAATATAACAGCATACCAATAATTAGACAAAGAATATACAAACACAACATTAATCAACAATTTGACAAGGATTCTACAAATATAACAACATACCAACAAGTAGACAAAGGACATAAAGACAAAGGAAACTATAAGTTCAAAGACACAATTATATATGGACAAAGGAAATTACAAGTACAAAGACACAATTATATACAAACAATGGAAATAACAAGTACAAAGACACAGTTACATAAAGACAAAGGAAACTAAAAGTACAAAGACACAATTACATACAAACAAAGGAAATTAAAAGGGAAAAGGCAATAACTACAGATAAAGGAACCCTCAATTACAACAAGAGGCCCAAGGGCCACAGCTCTCACCTGAGCACTTTGGCCAGGAAAAAGCAGAAATCAGTTAAGTATTGAAAAGTTTAAATATAAATGTAGTTCCAACATTTGATCTTCTATTGAGGCAATGCCCTACCTCCACAGACTTGATTGGAACACATTAGAAACAACTCCACCTGAGGATGCTCATACATGTGATATGTACCGGCGGTACGCAAAATGTACCGTTTTTCGAGCCCATTCATCGTGTACCGGAGGGACACCAAAATTCACGGAATATGAAAATTTGTACAGTATTTTGAATTTCTCGCTAAATGCCGCCATTTTCCTCTCATTCTCGCTCGCGAGACACTGGAAAACGTCACCTGTGTTTGACACTTGACCTTCTGATAACTGTGTAGTGTACACAAACCATCGCGTCTGAAGGTGTGAACTGCCAATTGGGATAATTATCTTGCTATAAATCAGTATTAAGATACCCCTTTAGGTAGCTTTACTTTTTAAAGGGGTACTTAATTATAACTGTTAATGTTTCGTAACCTGATTGAAAAAAATTAAGCCAACTTCTAAAGTTGATATACATGACTTAATATACATGAATCTGACCCAGATCTTCGTAGGTATAAAATATATGATGTTTATTACCATGATTACGCTGAAATAAAGGATATAGTTTTAAGTTTTTATGTGCTGAAATTTATGTATGATTGTATTTGCTGCTGTTATTTAGCATTGCTGATGTATATATCAGTAATATGAACAAGATGTAAATTGGAGACATTGAATCTCACGTTAATACTATATAAAGCTGGCAAACAAACTATCATCTAAACTAGCTTAATTTATAGTCAATTCATAAGAACATTGTGATTATAAAACACAATAAATGAAATTTTAAAGCATTCAAATCTCCATTACAACTTTTAAAATAAGACATTTGCAACAATATATATTTGTTAGTTTAGAAATAAGGTACGTGCCTTATCAGAAGAATTTAAGCGATATTTTATACCGTTTTTTGATAGGCAGTGTACAGTTTTCTCACCCATATTCCAGTTTTTTAATGGCTCCTGTACAGTTTTGTGGTCTTTGACTTATCATATGTATGGATGCTTAAATTAATAAGACTAGTTTTGATGTTCTTGAGAAGAACATATCTATTGATATAACCCTTATATATTCTTTTTTTTAAACTTTGTTCCCTTATTGTGGCCCCACCCTACCCCCAGAGGTCATGATGTGAACAAACCTGAATATACACTAGCTTAGGATGCTTCCATATTAAATTAATATGGAAGCATCCTAAGTTAGTGTATATTAATATTATTGATATAACTCAACAAGACTTTGTTATTCTTAAGAGGAAGAATTTTCAAGATTTTTTCCTATTTCTTCCTATGTAAAACTTTGTTCTCCCATCGTGGCCACACCCTATCCCCAGGCGTCATGATTTGAACAAATTTGAATCTACTCTACCTAAGGATGCTTCTAGATAAATGTGACTAAACATGGCTTTGCTGTTCTTGAGAAGAAGATTTTCAAAGATATTTCCTACGTATTCCTATGTAAAACTTTGATCCGTCATTGTAACCCCACCTTACCCCTGGGGGTCATGATTTGAACAAATTTGAATCTACACTGTGTAAAGAAGATTTCATAAAAAAGTTTCAACTTTTTTGGCCCTGTGGTTCTTGAGATTTTTAAAAGATACCACCAAATTTTCACTATTTCTTAATTATCTCCCCTAGGAAGAGGGAGTGGCCCTTCTTTGAGCAAACTTGAATCCCCTTCATCCAAGAATAGTATGTACCAAGTTTGGTTGAAATTGGCCCAGTGGTTCTGGAGAAGAAGATGAAAATGTGAAAAGTTTACGACAACAACAACAACAACGACAGACAATGGACAAATTTCAATCAGAAAAGCTCACATGAGCCTTCGGCTCAGGTGTCCCACCCTAACCCCCGGGGTCATGATTTGAACAAACTTGAATCTACACTACCTCACAATGATTCCACATAAGTTTCATACTTTCAAGCACAGTGGTTCTTGAGATGAAGATTTTTAAATGATGCCAATAATTTTTCACAAAATCATAATTATCTCCCCTTGGAAGAAGGTGTGGCCCTTCATTTTATAAACTTGAATCCCCTTTACCCAAGAAAACTTTGTGGAAAGTTTGGTTGAAATTGGCCCAGTGGTTCTTGAGAAGAAGATGAAAATGTGAAAAGTTTACGACAACGACGACAGACAACAGACAAATTTCAATCAGAAAAGCTCACTTGAGCCTTCGGCTCAGGTGAGCCAAAAAATAAATGCTCTCTTATTAACAGTTCCATTGTCAGACTATTCTGAGTCTAAGTGTAATATAAATCTCACCATTTGGCTTTTCACAAATAACACGGCGAGACTCCAAACAGTATCGAGCAAACACTTTTCCATAATTCCCAGAATAAGACATCATAGCTGCACAACTAGCTCTAGCATTTGTTACACTTGGTTCCTTGTCTAAATTCCAGTGTCTGCAAAAACAGTCAGTTTAGGGATAATATTCAATTACTCTCATCAGAATCCAAATTTCAGAACTAAAATTTCAGCATTTTAATTATTTTTATAATTTAGGTTCTAATTTCTTTTTTTAACAGCAAAAAAAAATAAATGAATTTACAAGTTACATGTACAGAAATTTCAGTTTTCACATTTTTTTTTACTTTTATTTTCTATAAATTATCTTCAATCTTAGTTTCATTATTCAAGAAAATCAATTACGAGTGCAAAAATTAATTTTGCTGGAGAAAATGAACTGAATATATGATTAAGTATCAGGCTGCTCTTTATATGGTAAAACATGCTTATACAGTAAACATGCTTATATTGAACTGATGCTTACAGTGAAGTGATTTCCATTTCTTGTGACTTTAAAAAATATTGTGAACCTAACAAATATAACAAATTAGGCAAAATCATGTGTCCCTGGCACTTCGTTATAAGTGTGTTTTACTGTATATTTAATCAGTGTGCTGTACCAAATGACCTAGTTTTATCTGATCACCATACAGTATCATTAAACATTAATAGGTGTTTCTGATTGATATTCATTCATTTAAGCTGTGCATGCTTTACTGGGTAGCAACTAATGACCTAATTCATCTATCATAAGTAAACATTACTTAATGTAAATAAATGATAGATAATTTGTTGATCAGAGATACAATTCTTATATTTTTTTTCAAATTAAAGAACAATGTTTCTTCTGTACTACATTTATTATTATATCTTTTTTATGCTTCTTAGATGTTAGTTTTTCTTTGTTCATCCGGTTCCAGAAAAATTAGAGAGAACTGATGTGGTTGAGATGCAATATTAATTTTATAAATATCATGAAGAGTGTTCAAACTAAATTCACAGGCTCTGAACATGGGTAAGCCTTATTGCCTCACCCTGGAAAGGATTTCATATTTTTGTCCCATATATATATATATATATATATATATATATATATATATATATATATATATATATATATATATATATATGTCGATCTGTTTTAAGATATCACAAATGCCTAAAAATTGATTTCTAAGAGATTTACAGACAGATGCATGGGTTTAGGGGTATGATTATATTTTAACTAGGGATGGCAAATCGGTCAATATTTGATAATCAGTTACTCGGATGATTTTCCGATTACTTGGAAAAAGTGTATGTAAGTAAAAGTTTGTTGATTTTATTGAGACCTGTTTACCCCATCAATGTTTTCTTTTGTTTATAATGCTATACATAAACATTTTAAAATATTTCTTCACTTTTGATTTCTTAGTATGTATGTCCGATTTCACTATCATATATTATGCTAATTAAATAATCTAAGGATAATCAATAGATCATAATTAAACTCTGTTCATTGACAACAAATAATTAAAGCCATCCAAAAATAAGGGTCAGAAAAGGACTTATAAATATCACCAACAATGTATTCCGCATAATGGTTTAACCTTTTTTTTATGCACCATAAAATTGCTAAAATTGCTTCTTGCTAAAATAACTGATTTTTTAAGGACAAATCGCTAAATTTGCGTCTCGCTTAAAAATCCACTTGTACGGTATTTAAATCACTTTCTTAAACTAAGTTTTTAATAAATGTATGCACTTTGAAATATGAAAGAAATATACATCCGAGTAACAGAGTAAGATTTAAGTATTCGATACTCGGACATTCGATCAAGTACCCGGTTAACTGGGTACTCGTTGACATCCCTAATTATAACATGAATCCCATTTCTGTTTCTATAGTCTAAATGTAGACTGTGTAACTTATGACAAAAAAACACTATTTAAAACATACACATTTGATGAATTATATGTAGTGCCATCTAACCAAGTCCATGTTTGGTTGGAAACTCTTAATCCAATCCAGTAGATGTCAGTCTGTAAAGTCTTTAGCTGGTTCCGCAACCAATTCTAGAAATAAATCATTAACAAGTAACAATTACTTGTTCATCACCAATCATGACAGTAATGTCATGATCCATGATTTAACAAATATATAATATGTCCTTGATGCTGCGATTTACATCAAAAATATGGTAAATACTTGCCAAAAAGTTACCTTTAGAAAAGTATACATTATAATTATATAATCATAACCTGGTAAATACAAAGATGGTAAGGGTAATCTATGGTCAAACTGTAATTAATGAATGATTGATGGTAATTGCAGAAATATTATAATACTGATTAAAAATCATTTATAAAACAGTATCAGTAAATTGATCATTTATTTGTTTTTAGTTGGGATATCAGCGTACAGTTCATAAAGCAATTTGGTCAAAAGTGAATAGCCCTTTGTTATGAAAAGTCTGATATGTGGCTATAGACTGCTATCCTCTGATTTCAGAGGATAAAAACTATCCTCTGAAAAAGGAGGCCGCCTAGACCAAGGTGATCTACTATGATCTGAAAAACTTGCCATAATGTCACATACATTTGTGTCTATAATTTCTGCATGATTATATAGAAAGGCAGGAAAATGAACTGTACTAAAGGAAGGCACTGAATAATATTGATTAAGTCCTAGTAAATTTTTGAAACTTTTTAAACTTATCACAGCTAGTTTGTTGACTCTGTCTGTAAGAAAATCATTTCGGTTTAAGTCCTATAAATTTATCATTTAGTAAACAAAATCAGAAGTCTCAGATGAAACTGTAGCTCTACTGTATGTAGTTTGTATATGTGATAGTGGTAGAGAATAAAGTTGCAACTGGACTTGAATAACTTTTGTTTATACATTTACAAAATCATGTATCCTGATATTTACTGACCTTGTACTAAGTTTTGCTGAAATCAAACCAAAATTTTAGGAGGAGTAGCATTTTTAAAGAACTTCACAAAATTTTCTACTTTTAGTCAACTTCACACCACCATTCATAGGAGAGAAAAACAGAATGTCAGATGTATCTTCATTAGTCTAGTTGCATATCAAGTTTGATTAAAATCAGATCAAGAATGTAAGAGAAGCTGTAAGAGAATCCTTTTCAAAAACTGTCTACAGAAAGACAAAACAGATGACAGATCGACACTTAGCCACATAAGCTCTTCTGATCTTTGACCAGAGACAAATACCGGTATATCAAATCCTGAATTAATGTACAACAGTAATATCTGTTTTATTACAGTATTGCTGTCCTTGACTGCATAATTATTCAGTACTTTAAGGTAATTAATGCATGTACTATACATACATTTTGTTTGTTTATATATAATCTGCTATCTAGATTAAATATTGATATTTTTAATTCTATATAACAAACACACAGAAATCCAGTCACTAAGATAACATTTCTTACCCAGTCATCATTATTTTTTAGGACAGTTAGGGTGGAATTTCGTGTACTACATAGAATATCAGCCTCATTATATCTGTAGGCTTGTGTTGTAAAAAAATAACAGTTTCCATTATGTTCTGTCCACTTCACAGGACACGCAGCCCACACATCAGGAACAAAGAAAACTAAAAATAAAAGTTTATTCATTAGAATGATTTACAGTGTGAAGTGTCTAAACATGCAGACACATTTTTTTTACTTTCTTATAAATTAAATAAAGATGCAAGGAAGCAAAGCTAGTATAGCTCTTAAAAGCAAAACCAGAATTCATATTTTAATTCTTTTTGACTCCCAAAATATATATTTTAAAGGGTCAACATGAAGGATAACCTAAAATTTTATGCAATTTCATTCATTCGTGGTGTCTAAATCATCAGGGATATGAAGGACTGTGGACAGCAAAGTGTACTTATTATAGAAATTAAGATACAAAAAAAATCATGGACTTTTTTATACAAAGTGGAGAAAAAATTGTGGGTCCCAAAATACAATGTATTAATGTACGTGGGCTAATAAAACTTGTAAAGTTGGGGGCCCACATGGCTCCTAAGGTTTTAAATGTTATTTGCAACCCTGCATAGCTTTATTCATCTAATTGAAGAAGCTTTATTTAGCTATTTTACTACAAATTTTCGTAAGTTTTATTTAAAATGATCAAAAATTTTCAAGTAAGTAACTACTTATATTTGTACTACTCATTTTTTTTTTAAAGCAACCAAAAGAAAAGATAATTTAAACATTGTTGCTTTTAAAACTTTTACGCAAAATATGTATTTCCATTGTTTGAGTAACTGAACACCACCTTGTATTTGGTGAGGTATAGATAAGTATGATCGCCTCACATTGTGCTGAAGTATTACTAATCAATTATCAAGTTAACTAGAATTTGTGTTCTTTGTTATTTCATTTAAGAAGTAACCAATTAGTACTTTGCATAAGAAATTGCACCATACTGCTACACAAAAAAGGAGTTGTTAATTAATGACATAATAATTATATAGGCATTTCCAAAGTAAGTAAGTGTTCAGAATTTTAAAATGGAATACCCGGTACAATAAGCACAGTATATTGATTGATGCAGTTTGGATGCCAACCTAGACTCTCTACAGTATATGCAATATTTGTCTAATAATTATTTACAAAACTTAAAACCAGTAGTCTCTGATAAGACTTTAGCTCTAATGGTTTTTACTTAATAGCAAAAGTAGAGAAAGGTAGCACTTGGACTTGAAACTATGGCAACTGCAAATAAATAATTAAAATAATGATCCTTGGTTTAGTCTCTTTCTGAGTCAAGTTTAATTTCAATGGACAGAAAAATTGTAGTAGGAGAAATATTTTGAAAGAATTTCACAGAAATTTTTAGTTTTGGTAACCATGGCAACACTTCAACTAAATCAAAAACCAACTAGTGCTAATTGTAACGGAAACCGTTACAGATGTTCCCCAAACGGCTCCCCAATCCCTTATGACGCCCCATTCCCTACAAGCTTCAATAAATTAGACAATACTTTTGTAATATAGATGGACACTTTATTTTTAAGGGTATTTCATTGGAAAACTACTCCGATATAGCCATATGGGTATTAGCCGATCAAATTTCAGCGCATGTGCTTGCACATGTTTTCTACATTTTTCACATTAATTATCTTATAGTGTCTCACAATACATACATTTGTTTTAAATATTAAAGAATTTCATTGAAAAATAAGAGAGATGTAACCCTTTAAGTACTAGCCAATCAAAATTCAGCATACGCGCATGCATGGCCTTGCATTCAATTTTGATAGTATCATAATGTAGGAGATCTATGTGCCTATCCATGTCATAAATTTCATCCTGTTTTGTTGAAAACCAAGGGAGTTATAGACATTTAATTTTTCAACCAATCAGATTGCAGCACACCTGCATGCGCGTGTTTTCAAAAAATTTCCTATATATCGTGTTGTAGCACCTTATAATATATACTTATATTCTAAATTTCAAAGTATTTTGTCAAAAAACAAGGAAATTATTGAGATTTTTGTATCAGCCAATCAGAGAAGAGCGCACGTGCATGCGTGTGAGTTCACGCTAATTTGACCATGTTATCTTGTCTAGACTACTAATATATCTTTATATTTTGAGTTTCAAAGCAATTCATCAAGAAATATAAAAGTTACGGCTTCATCAAGTATATCAGTCATTTCACTCATTGCACGCACGCGCACGTGCATGCATGTGCGCGCAAAATGACCTTCGTTCCGAACACCTACACAACATGCCTATTAACCCTAAAAAGGTTTCATGTCAATCGGATGAGTGGTTCTATGAGAACACTCCCGGACAAAAAAGTACCGGAGAAGAAAGTAGAAAAAAAGAATAATAATAATAATAATAATAAGAAACAGAGTAAAAACAATATGTTCCCAAACTTCGTTTGGGGAACATAATAAACAGAATTGTGTATCTTAATGTAGTCTCCATGTGTACCAAGTTAAACTGAAATAAGACAAACTGTAGGATAAGTAGCATTTTGAAAGAATTTCACAGAAATTTCTATTTTTAGTAACCATGGCAACACTGTTCAATAAAATCAAAAACTGAAATAAATATTATGTATCTTAGTGTAGTTCTAATGGTGTATTAAGTAATATTGAAATCAGACTAAAACTGTATAGGGAGTAGAGTTTTGAAAGAATTTCACAGAAAATTTCTATTTTCAGTATTAAACCATAGCAACACCGTTCATGGAAATAAAAAACTGATGAAGAGAATTATGTCAGGGTTCAAAATTCACTATATAAAACTCACAAAATGCGAGTTAGAATTCCCAAATTGTGAGTTAAAAATTAGGTAACTTGCAAAAACTTGCGAGTTGATTTTTTTTCCTTGGGAAAAAATCAGTTCCTTCTTGGTTATAGTTTTCATTTTGGTTATGTACTTTATTTCTCCCTTCTTTAAATATCAGCATGGCGTAGTAGTATTTTTTAAAACAAAAAACAAAAAACGGCAGTTGGAAGAGGGTGCTGAAAACAAATGAACAGCACCAACAATGATGAGCATGTGTTTCATTTGAAATCTTAAAAAATAATAGGGATGGGAAAGGGTTAAAAATAACCCTTAAAAAAAATTGTGAATGCCTTATTTGTGAAACTCTAAAATAAAATTTATAAAAACTTTGTCACTTTATAATAATAGATGTATAAATACAGTACCATAGGTTTAATTCCTCATATTGCAGTTAAATTATCAAGATAAAGTGAGAAAAAAAACATGCATTGAAATTGTAGCAAAATTATATAATATGAGAGAACACAATGCTTTTGATTTAAATCAATAATTTAAATAAAAATCACACTGTAGTTGTATTTTGTGTATTGAACAGTAGTTACTTTTTTCTTAATCTACATGTATTTAATTTTAATTTTAAAAAGGCTTTTTATATGAAAATTGTGAGCAGTCTTATAAAAATGCGAGTTCACTTTCTTGGTACCCACAATTATTTGCGAGTTGTAATTTTAGGGAGTTTCTAACCCTGTATGTACCATATATCTTAGTGTTGTTTACTTTTATATGAAGTTACATTTAAGTTGGATTGAAACTGTAGGAGGAGTAGCATTTTGAATGAATTTCACAGAAATTTCTATTTTTAATAACCATGACAACACCATTCATCTAAATAAAAAAAACAATAAAAAGAATTATGCACTTAGTGTAGTCTACTAGTGTATCAAGTTATTTTGAAATCAGACCAAAACTGAGGAGGATCAACATTTTCTGTAATTCACCATTTATAAAATAACCTTAGATACTTTTACATCTGAATCACCATCACGGTAGCTCAGTTGGAAGAGCGCTCACCCTGTGATCAGAAGGTCGTGTGTTCGAATCATGTCTGCAACTGACCTAAGTCGATAAAAAAATAAGTAGCAACTGTTCTTTTGCCAAGCGCTCAGCACTTTGGAGTGAAAGTTGTGGGCCTTTTGGATAAGACCTTAAAAACTGAGGCCCCGTGTCACGGTAGGCATTGGCACGATAAAGAACCCTCACTGCTCAATGGCCCTGAGTGCCAAGTAAAGGTCTAAATTTGAAGCCCTTCACCGGTATATGGCGATGTCTCTATATGAGTGAAAAATTCTCGAACGGGACGTAAAACAACATACAATCAATCAACACACAGTCAATCAATCAATTTACATTTGAACCCCATTCTTTAGTGTAATCATACAATGTGGTCAACATGCTTTTTAATCCAGATGGAGACTCTGCTAATATTATAACAATGTATATTATACATTTTCCAGTCAGCAAGCAGAGTTTTGATGCTGTTTACGGTGATAAAAGAAAATAAAGAAATAAAGACAAGTATGCCATATAAAGGTTGTGTAGATAAATGTCATAGAAGACAATGGTAATAAACAGTTTGCCAGATGTATTTCCCCTGAAAGTATGAGTGCGAATCGGGAGGGGGGGGTTAGTCCAAGTGATTCGGAGCTGGATACCTTGTATTATTATTATACTGTGGGTTTAAAAAATTATTACCGAAACAAGTGCCTGTGGCTGCGCTATATAATTCTACATAAAGTTCACTTCATTTTCCACATATCCATTAGCCTTGCACCAGTCTCAAACAATGGTGAAGAACTATACAATAACAAAGTATTTCAGAGAAATTCTACTGCCTTCAAAATAAATGACCCATAACACTGCATAAATGAACTTTGCTTACTCTCGGGTTTTTAATACTAGGGCCTGCGTTATGTCATAAAATTATTGCGTTATTGCATAAAATTAACCTACTTATTAAAGAAGATTTGTTTCAGTTTAAAATTTCTTCAAGAATACTACTGAACTAAAGAAAAAAAAAACCCAAGAGTTTGCAGACAAAAATTATGCCGTCTGCTGATAAAGGGAAGTCAATATTGGTATGTAGCAGCACAAAGGTTGAACCGCTAGCCTTAAAAATTCCGGATTCATAATCATTAGCGCGATTTCACTTGGTACATACTTACCATTTAAAATGAACACATAAACACGCCACATATTTCTGATCAATTAATATTGAGATTCGAAAATTACTCAGTTATTGGAAACAAACCCAATAATACTGAAAAATATAACTGTCCACACTCTTAAAACAATA